TAAGCATGGAATGTTTTTCCATTTTTTGTGTCTTCCTCAATTTCTTTCATGAGTATTTTATAGTTTCTGAGTACAGAATCTTTGCCTTTTTGGTTAGATTTATTCCTCGGTATATTATGGTTTTGGGTAAAATTGTAAATGGGATCAACTCCTTAATTTCTTTTTCTTCAGTCTTGTTGTTGGTGTATAGGAATGCCACTGAGTTCTGTGCATTGATTTTATATCCTGCCACTTGACTGAATTTCTGTATGAGTTCTAGGAGTTTAGGGGTGGAGTCTTTAGGGTTTTCCACTTAAAGTATCATATCATCTGCAAAGAGTGAGAGTTTGACTTCTTCTTTGCCAATTTGGATGCCTTTATTTCTTCTTCTTGTCTGATTGCTGTGGCTAGGACTTCTAATACTATGTTGAATAGCAGTGGTGATAGTGGACATCCTGCCCTGTTCCTGACCTTAAGGGAAAAGCTCTCAGTTTTTCCCCATTGAGAATGATATTCACTGTGGGTTTTTCATAGATGGTTTGTATGATATTGGGGTATGTAACCTCTATCCTTATACTCTAAAGAGTTTTGATCAAGAAAGGATGCTGTACTTTGTCAAATGCTTTTTCTACATCTATTGAGAGGATCATATGGTTCTTGTTCTTTCTTTTATTAATGTATTGTATCGCATTGATTGATTTGTGGATGCTGAAGAAATCTTGCAGCCCAGGGATGAATCCCACTTGCTCGTGATGAATAATCCTTTTAATGTACTGTTGGATCCTATTGGCTAGTATTTTGGTGACAATTTTTGCATCCATGTTCATCAAGGATATTGGCCTGTAATTCTCCTTTTTTATGGGGTCTTTGGTTTGCGGATCAAGGTAATGGTGACCTCATAAAAGGAGTTTGGAAGTTCTCCTTCCATTTCTACTTTTTGGAACAGTTTCAGAAGAATAGGTATTAATTCTTCTTGAAATGTTTGGTAGAATTCCCCTGGGAAGCCATCTGGCCCTGGGCTCTTGTTTTTTGGGAGATTTTTGATGACTGCTTCAATGTCCTTACTGGTTATGGGTCTGTTCAGGTTTTCTATTTCTTCCTGGTTCAGTTTTGGTAGTTGATACATCTCTAGGAATGCATCCATTTCTTCCAGATTATCTAATTTGCTGGCATAGAGTTGCTCAGAATATGTTCTTATAATTGTTTGTTTTTCTTTGGCATTGGTTGTGATTGCTCCTCTTTCATTCATGATTTTATTTATTTGGGTCATTTTTCTTTTCTTTTTGATAAGTCTGGCCAGTGGTTTATCAATCTTCTTAAATCTTGTTAATTCTTTCAAAGAACCACCTCCTAGTTTTGTTGATCTGTTCTACTGTTCTTTTGGTTTCTATTTCATTGATTTCCACTCTGATCTTTATTATTTCTCTTCTCCTGCTGGGTTCAGGCTTTATTTACTGTTCTTTCTCCAGCTCCCTTAGGTGTAGGGTTAGGTTGTGTATTTCAGACCTTTCTTGATTCTTGAGAAAGGCTTGTATTGCTATATACTTTCCTCTTAGGACTGCCTTTGCTGCATCCCAAAGATTTTGAACAGTTGTGTTTTCTTTTTCATTGGTTTCCATGAATTTATTTAATTCTTCCTTAATTTCTTGGTTGACCCATTCATTCTTTAGTAGGATGCTCTTTAGCCTCCATGTATTTGAGTTCTTTCCAACTTTCCTCTTGTGATTGAGTTCTAGTTTCAAAGCATTTTGGTCTGAAAATAAGCAGGGAATGATCCCAATCTTTTGGTACTGGTTGAGACCTGATTTATGACCTAGGATGTGATCGAATCTGGAGAATGTTCCATGGGCACTAGAGAAGAATGTGTATTCCGTTGCTTTGGGATGAAATGTTCTGAATATGTCTGTGAAGTCCATCTGGTCCAGTGTGTCATTAAAGACTTTATTTCCTTGTTGATCTTTTGCTTAGATGATCTGTCCATTTCAGTGAGGGGGATGTGAAAGTCCCCCACTATTATTGTATTGTTGTCAATGTGTTTCTTTAATTTTTTTATTAATTGGTTTATATAATTGGCTGCTCCCATGTTAGGAGCATAGATATTTACAATTGTTAGATCTTCTTGTTGGATAGGCCCTTTAAATAGGATATAGTGTCCTTCCTCATCTCTTATTAAAGTTTTTGGTTTAAAATCTAATTTGTCTGATATAAGGATTGCCACCCCAGCTTTCTTTTGGTGTCCATTAGCATGGTAAATGGTTTTCCACCCCTTCACTTTCAATCTGGGGGTGTCTTTGGTTCTAAAATGAGTCTCTTGCAGACAGCATTCAATAGGTCTTGGTTTTTTATCCAATCTGTTAGCTTGTGTCTTTTGATTAGGGCATTTAGCCCATTTACATTCAGGGTAACTATTGAAAGATAGGAATTTAGTGCCACTGTATTGCCTGTAAGGTGACTGTTACTGTATATTGTCTGTGTTCCTTTCTGGTCTATGTTGCTTTTAGGCTCTCTCTTTGCTTAGAGGACCCCTTTCAAGATTTCTTGTAGGGCTGGTTTTGTGTTTGCAAATTCCTTTAGTTTTTGTTTGTCCTGGAACCTCTTTATCTATCCTATTTTCAGTGACAGCCTAGCTGGATATAGTATTCTTGGCTGCATATTTTTCTCATTTAATTCTCTGAATATATCATGCCCGTCTTTCTGGCCTGCTAGGTCTCTGTGGATAGGTCTGTTGCCAATCTAATATTTCTACCATTGTAGGTTACACATTTCTTCTCCTGAGCTGCTTTCAGGATTTTCTCTTTGTCTCTCAGACTTGTAAGTTTTACTATTCGATGTCAGGGTGTTGATCTATTTTTATTGATTTTGAGAGGGGTTCTCTGTGCCTTCTAGATTTTGATGCCTCTTTCTTTTTCCAAATTAGGGAAGTTCTCTGCTATAATTTGCTCCAAAAACCTTCTTCCCTCTCTCTCTTTCTTCTTCTTCTGGGATCCCAATTATTCTAATATTGTTTCACCTTATGGTATCACTTATCTCTCGAAATCTGCCCTTGTGATCCAATAGTTGTTTATCTCTCTTTTTCTCAGCTTCTTTATTTTCTATCTTTTGGTCTTCTACATCACTAATTCTCTCCTCTGCCTCATTTATCCTAGCAGTTAGAGTCTCCACTTTGCATTCCACCTCATTAACAGCCTTTTTGATTTTGATTTGTTTAGATTTTAGTTCTTTTATTTCTCCAGAATGGGCTTCTCTAATATCTTCCATGCTTTTTTCAAGCCCAGATAGTATCTTTAAAATCGTCATTCTGAACTCTAGTTCCGACATCTTACTAATGTCCATATTGATTAAATCCCTGGCAGTCGGTACTGCCTCTTGTTCTTTTTTTTGAGGTGATTTTTTCCACCTTGTCATTTTATTCAGAGGGAATAGATGAATGAGAGAACAAAATGTTAACAGGGTAACAACGTCCCCAGAAAAGATACACTAAACAAATCAGGAAAGACCTGAAACCGGGGAAAAAGAAAGAAAAAAGTAACGAAAAAAATAAAAACAAATAAACACAAAACAACAACAACAACAACAAAAACAGAATATGATCTAATATGATCAGGCTGATGCATAGATCAGTGCCGCATACTAGATTTGGGGCATATTTTGGTCTGTTAGAAGTAAGTGCCTCCCAAAATTTTAAAGAAAGTAAAACTTATACATGTACAAAAAATAAGGGTTAATATGATGAAGGGATGGACTATGATTGTAAAGATGAAAATTATAAAAGATTTTAAAAAGGAATTGATAAGATAAGAAGTTGGTTGAAAAAAGAAAGAAGAGGATTTTTTAAAAAATGGAGAGAATGTGATCAGGAAGGAGACTAGAACATAACCATACACTAGAGATTTAGGGTATATTTTGATCTGTTAGAAGCAACTATATCCCAAAATTTTAAAGAGAGAACAACTTATATATATATACCAAAAATAAGGTTAACTACTATGAAGGGATAGGATATGACTCTAAAAGTGAAAAATAAAAAAAAGATTTTTTAAAAAAGGGATTGATAAGATGTTCATTGAAAAAGGGAAAAAGAAAAATTCAAAAGAAAAGTTAACTTTGAAAGACTAAAGAATCATGGGGAGAAAGCCATGAATTCTATGTGCAGTATTCCCCTAGCGCTGGAGTTCTGCCATTCTCATTGATCAGTAAACTTGGTCTTAGCTGGCTGTTCTTGCTGATCTTCTGGGGGAGGGGCCTGTTGCTGTGGTTCCCAAATGTCTTTGCTGGAGGCAGAATTGCCCCGCCCTTTCCGGGTTGGGCTAAGTAATCTGCTCGGGTTTGCTCTTGGGAGCTTTTGTTCTCTGTAAGCTTTTCGTACAGCTTTGAAGGAGGAGAGTGAAAATGGTGGCCTCCCAATCTCCTCCCCGGAGGAGCCGAGAACTTGGGGCTCCACTCCTCAGTGAGCCCCCAGATAAAAGCAATCACTCCTCTCTCCCCAGTATCTGGCCGCACTCTGTGTTCACCCAGCCTATGACCAAGCTTTTCTATCTTTGGCTCACGACCCCCTGTGGAGTCTCCAAACCCAGCCAATCCCTGCAGTGTGCTCCTGCACCACTCCTCCTGGGAGGAGGAAGGGGAGTCTCCCCAGATCTGCTGCTTGTTGGGTCCCTGCTGGAGAACCAGTGGCCCGACTGCACCGTGGATCACAGTTTATGGCAACCTGGAGCTGAGAGCCCACTCCTTGGCTCTGTCTCTGCAGCTGGCTTCCCTGCTCCAATACCTGGGAGCTCTACCACACTCAGGCACCCCCAGTCTTTCTGTGACCCCGAGGGTCCTGAGACCACACTGTCCCAGCGAGAGTTCCACCCCCCGCTTAGCCACTGGAGCAACGTCCCTCAGCAAAGCCAACTTTAGAAGTTCTGATTTTGAGCTCTGCTGCTCTATCACTTGCCAGAATCAGCCAACAGAGGCCCCCTCCCCCACCCTTTATCTTCCCGAATATCGCCTCAGATTCACTTCTCCACACGTCCTACCTTCCAGAAAGTGGTCGCTTTTCTGTTCAGAGAGTTGTTGCTATTCTTTTCTTCGATCTCCTTTTGAGTTCGTAAGTGTTTAGAATGGTTTGACCCCTAACCAGCTGAATTCCTGGGAACAGATGAAATCCAGGTTTCCTACTCCTCCGCCATTTTGCTCCTCTCACCCAGTACATCATTAGTTTTTGATGTAGTGTTCCATGATTCGTTGTTTGTGTATAACACGTCACCTTTGGAAATCAGTGTTCTGGTCATTTCTAGAAAGGGAAATTTGTAAAAGTAACAACATCAACACTTCCAATGGTGTGGAATGAAAAATTTCAAGCAATTCCAATGTCATTTCCAACCAATAACACTTGGAGGAAGTTAGGGAAGTTGAAAAGAAAACCTTACTAATTGAATATTTATAATTAATAGGTTCCAAGGAATTAAATATATAGATATGCATGTGACAACCTACCTGACAAGAAAATTATACTCACTCCTTGAAACGGAGTACCATAGATAGTCATCTTTTATTTAGAAGGTACTGGTGTCAAAGTTTCCCCAATTATCTCCCTTAGCATCATTCATTATGAATATAATCCACCTTTAAATATGTATAAAATTGGCTGAAGAAATATTAGCCAGTGAAATCTATCTTGAATACCAACAATGAGAAATTTATTTATTTTATTATTTTAAAAATGTTTCATGTACTATCTACATGAACCCTTTATTCTAATGTCTAGAAAATTGCCCCCTGGATGATAGGGAAGAAAAAAAAAAGCTATTCCGCTTCTTGTGATTGTTACCATCAATCTAATTAAAATATAGTCTAAAACATTCACAGGAATAAAAACAACTCTAAAATTACCATTTGTTTGTTTTACTTGAGATAAAGGCCAAATAAGACTCATTAATTCTTTCAAATAGGCTCTCTAATAGACCTCAATAGACTGCTCCTCATTCAGAAGATCGCATCATCTAAGAAAATAGCATGAATGACTTAAGGGTATGCACAGTCATTTTCCACTGAGTTCATTACTCATGTGTTGGTTCTCCATGGTCTGTTTACTATGAGTATATGGATGCTACCCGTGAAGCAAATAAAATGTTGCCATTTTACCCAACAATTAGATTTATGGACAACTATACAATTCATTTCCCTTAATTTATGCATTCAGGTTAGCTTTTAATACCCTGTTGGTACTACTACCTCACCAATTGAATTCTCCACACAGTTTTTGCCTTGCATGGTCCCTATGCTGGAACTCAGCTTATAGAAGAGATTTGTTACTCATTTTGTTCAGATTTCTACAAGATCCATTTTTGAAGTCTTTACTGATATAAGCATATTTATAAAATAGCTATTTAGAATGAGATATGTGACAGACACTAGAGCAATCAGGATTCTATCACCCTGGGAAATGCTGACCCAGCCCCATGGCTGACTAGCATAGCCAATCTTATTCTTATTGGAGTGTTATGATTCCCTAAGAGGAATGTCAGCACTTTCAGGACAAAATGCTTACTGATGTTAGAATTCCCAATAGCCTGTAAGGATGGAAGGCAGAATTATTCCCAATACTTTCCTTCATGTCATACATCAAGGAGAAGGAATAAACTCATCTATATGAAACCCAGTTTTTGGTCCACACCTGCCTGTGGTAAAATTATCATTGTGGAAAGATAAAAGGTATATATGACCATTTGCCAAAACTGCATATGACAGGAGGACTCACTATGTACCTTTATGTAAAAATATACTAATTTATTATTCCTCTAGGATGTTTCTGGCTATTCAAAGTAGAGGAAAGAGTAAAATCTGAAAAATAAAGGAGACTAAAGCTTCATATAACCCAACAGATTTTTAATACTAATAATAGTTTGTATTAACCAACTATCCACTAACTCAATTAAATTTTGATGACTTAAAAATAATAAGACAACAGAGATACATAAATTTACTATAAACTGTGTATTGTATCAGGAGTGTATAGTTTTGTTTCTTCCCAGATGAGGGAGCACTTCAAAATCAGCACTCCATTGGTGCAGTGATGAGATTCCATGGAATTCTAATATTATACCCAGTCTACAAAGTACATAGGAAATTGGAGAAGTTGCAAGACAAAATTTTCCTAATGGAATATTTAGTTATAAAAAGTTATAAGAATTCATAATGGATATTCATTCATCTGATGACAAGAACGATTATGCTCACAATTTTCATCAAAATAGTACAGAAATAATTGTTTCTAAGATATTTTTCTCAAAATTTCCCCAGCAGACTCATGTAAAATTATGTATTATAACTAGGGTGTCTCTCTAAACACATTACAAACCCATTGATGATATATGAAAGTGGCCAATGAAATTCATGTAAGAATCCAAGAATTTTAAATATAATCATCTCACATCTAAAAATGTTTAATCTAGCATGTAGTTGAAGCTATCACTTGAAAGTATATGAAATTTCTTGCTCAGATAATAGAAAAGGCAAAGAAAACAATGTGTAAACAACTGTTCTGATTATCTCTAGTGACTGGGATGACAAGCAAATTAAAATATACTATGATGATTCCACATAAGGTATCTACTTTTCAATTTACATACAATTGTTCCACTTAAAAGAAAATGACAAGTAAAATTTCATAGTATCTTTGGATTTTGATAATCTAATTACCCCAAAGACACTGATCATGACTCAGAAGATTCCGGGAGCTCAAACACGTAAATAGATCAAATGTAGTCACAAACATTTCTCATGGGACTCATGATTTAAGTGTTGGTTCCACAGGATCTATTTATGACTTATGTGTAGATACTGGTAGCCAAAAGTTATAATATCGTTCCACAATTGGTTATATAGACCTATCTACAATTCATTTTCTCTAGCACATGCCAGCGTGTTATTTTTCAAATACCACAGTACTTTTTTTTTTTTTTTTTTGGTAACACTTGCTGACCAAACTGAATTCCCCTCCACATTTTTGTTTAGCATGATCCATGGGGTAGACCTCAGCTCACAGAAGTTATTTTTGTTACTCACTTTGTTCATATTCCAACAAGATCCATTTGTGGAGTCATCATTTATCCAGGAACATTTATAAAAGGGACCATCAGAATGAGATACGTGGTAGACACTGAGCATTCAGGATTCTGTTACCCTAGGAGACATTGATCCACACTAACTTGATGACGGTAACCAGAATCACTGATGATCCAGTGCAGATTAGAATAGCCAGAGTCTCATTGTCATTGAAGTGCTACAATAACCTGAGAGGAATGTCAATATCTTCAGGAAAAAATGCTTACTGATATGAGAATTCCCATTGGCATTTGAATATATTTTGGCAGAACTATACCTGAAGAGCTATATGTCAAAGGATAAACTCTTTCATATGAAACCCATTTCTGTCCATCTTGAACTGTAGTAATAAATACATATAAAAATGAAAATCATGTACATTTGTCAACCAAACAAAAGATAGTAAAATTCACTGTGTATATACATTTCAATTTAACTATATAAATTAATTTACTTGGATATTTTTTAATTATTTTAAGAAGAAAAGAGTGCAAATTCTGGAAATAAAAAAAAGACAGAAACTATGAATGATTCAATAGATTATAATGCCTCACAGCACAAATAGAAGGAGAAGAGAAAATCAAAAAATACCAACAAAAGATTAAAAACCATTATGTAGTAGTCTCACAAAGATTTAAAATTAGTGATGATAAACATATTTACCTTGTAACTACAAGATCTGTGGAAACAAACTAAAATAAAGCTAGCATCAGATAACAAAGAGAAGTTGTAAAAAAAAAAAAGAAACTTTAAAAATTATATAAAAATCTCATAGGATAGGCTCATTATTAGTGTTGACAAAACAGGAAGACAATAAATGAACTTAGTATGAATCAAAAGATTTTATCCAATCTTGGAAGAAAGAACATAACCTAAAATATTCACAAAATTAACATGTGATAAGAAATTAAGATTCTCAATATCACATCATTAGAAAACATGATAACATAAGGGAAGTCAAAAAAACTAAATTAGTAGTATAAAACTGAAAATATGATTTCACTAACAAATATAAAAATTATTCATTTGACATTTCAGTAACAAAAGGGCATTTGGAAAACAAATTTAAAAAGTTCAATTCCATTAAGATTTTACAAATAATTACAATGGAAAATAATAGAAGGATATATATGTGTATATGTAGAAAGTTAAGTATGAGTGAAATTCATTAAATCACAATATATTGATTATATAGTTTCCTGTCTTCACAATGAGTAATCACATACCTGAAGACTAATGACTAACATAGGGTAAAATGAATTATGACACATTGTATGACCTAAATATAAGAGATACACTTCAATAACATCCACTACCTTCCACAGGACACTAAAAAGTTTTTTAATACACTGTTCCAAATAAAAATTTGATAAAATGTGGACAGACAACCTCAGGTACCATTCCAAGGAACTACACTTGGAAAAGAGAACAAGACCACAAAACCATAAGATTGTCATCATCAAGTGGCACACCAAGAACACTAGCAAAAGAAAGAAGATATCCATCTGAACTGTACAAAAGACATTTAAAAGCACAGTTAATATGACAGGCATGGTGCAATATGTTCCACTGGAAAAAAAAATCCAAAAAGCACTGGGAAATTTCAATGCTAAGATACTAAGAAAAAAAATTTCATAAAAGTAAATCATTTTGCTGAATAATCCACGTTCATAATTGGGATAGATCAATAATATGATGTGAACACAAAGCTGAAACACACAATATAGACAAAAGGATCCTAAGGAGGAATGCAAAATGAAAAAACAAAAAAGCCTGAATCACTGAAATATACATGATTTCTAAATACTAAGGGAATAAACAGCATATATAGAAACATGAAAAAGAAAAACCACAAAACAATAAATGTGAAGGATACACAAAGTTTGAAGATGAAGGGGACGGAAAAACACATAAACAGTATATCATAAACAGCATGTTAAAAAAAAATGAAAAAACTATCATTTATACTAGGATCCTACCTGAGGGGATGAAGGCGTCAGACTCAAATGGATAAAAATATTTTTTGAAAGGGAAAAACGTAGTAAGAGGCAATGAAAGGCACTCCACAGGAGACTATCTCTCAGGAAGGGCAGTCAGAACATCAAAAAACAAGACCACAAGGCCACTAAACTGACTAGAACAGACAACCCAAGAAAACTACAGAGCACGCCACGTGCCCTCTGCCATGGAGCAGCTGAGGAAGAAGCCTGCCCCGAGCCTGGCCTGAGGTCCTTCTCCTGTCCCGCGTCACAAACCTATCTGCCCTGGAGTGGACAAGGCACAAGGGCAAGGGGGGAGCAGGGCCCCGGGGCGGCAGCGGGGGTGGGGGTGAGCGGTGGTGGTAGGGCCTCAGTGACTCCAAGGCAGCCTGCTCCCGCGCGCTGTGGTACGCCGACCTCTGCCACCCGCACCCTCCCGGGCCGCGCTAGGAGAGCCCAGACCTCTGCACGCAAATGGCCCCGGTCACCGCAGGCAGTCCCTAGGGGTGGGGATGGTCCTCCTTCCGCCGCTGAGACTTTCTCCGCCAGACGGCGACATCCAAACCTGGCGCGCACTCCTAGCTACCCGCAAAGCTATCGGACGGCATGTGTCCCTCACTCAGAGTTCCCGGGTGGAGCCACGTGCTGGACCTCAGTTCCGATGAGGACGACGGTAGGGATTGTACTCATTTTGTTCAGATTTCCAAGGAATGCATTTGTAGGGAGTCGTCATCGATCCGAGCACATTTCAGGACATGGAACGTTAAAAGTGCCGGGCTCCAGCCTGGGACAGCCGATGCGTTCACACACATCGGCTCTCGGCAGAACCCAGGGCCAAGCCACCGTGCAGCCAGGGGAGCCATCCTCGGCCAAGGAGGCCTCGCGAAGATCCCCGGCCAGTTGAGGCAGAGGCGAGTCTCTTACCGCTTATGCCGGCAACTCCCACGTGACTGCAGACCACACAGCGCTACTCTCCCCGGCCATCTTCGCCATGCAGACCGGCCATCGCGGATGAGGCAGAATGGGACTCACCCATGCTCACGGACGCCCACGTCCAGTCAACTCCACCTGGGAAGTGGGGAGAAGAGACAGGTGCACTTCAGCATGCCAGACAGGTCTGTGGGCATCCACTGCAGTGCCTCGCAGCAGGGACACACTGCTCTGCCTCTCCCTACGATCTGGGGGTTCCTCCCATGCCTGCGGACAGACACCCACATGTGGACGCTTCCAAGCATGGGGGCATGAGGTTCGGGGTGGGGGAAGGAAGGAAGGGTGGCGGAAGGGGAGCGGGTCACGGGCGTGGGAGGGGGAGGAGGTGGAGGTGGGCAGTGAGGGCCACCCTGGGCACAGAGTGATGCAAAAGAAACGAGTCCCCAGTCCACACACCCCACCACTGGTCTCCTACACGCTGTCCACACGGCCATAGGGGGATCTCGTGGACCTCGCCCTCGCCTCCCCACGGTCTGGGTCCCAGCCCAGAACACCTCTGCCCAACAGCCGGGGCCCTGGCAGGAGCAAACCCATCCGCAGCACCTACTCCTCCCGAGAGTGAGTACACGCCAGGCAGACACGAACCGGCATCAGCTAGCTAGCCCAAGGGAACAGCCCTCTCAGCTCGAGGGGAACTGCCCCAGGAGCAATGAGCCCGGAAGCTTCCGGGAGAGGACCCTTTGTGGCCTAGGGCCATGGGGGCACAAGTGGCCTCCCACAGCTGGGCACCCACGCTCCTGCCCTCTCTGCCATGGCCAGATCCCCTCCCTTTTTCAATGCAGAAAGCCCACCTGGGGCTCGAGAGAACCCCCCAATTCCCGAGGTGCCAGTGACCAATCCATCTGGCAGGAGGTCACCTAACACTGGTTCTCGCGGGCTCCAGAGCAGGACCCATGCAAGGAGTGACCTTGCACTCTCATACCACTCATGTGTCCGCCCTCATCCAAGGGTCACCCACGGAGGCCCATGTCATTAGAAGCCCATGGGGCCCTGCGACATGGCCCAATCCTGCCCTGGGGGCCACGCCCCAGGGGGCTGTGCGTTGGATCAGGAGCACTGCCTGGCCTCAGAACATGACCCAGCCATCCCTGAGCCTGGGGTACCCACCTCTGCCCCAAAAGGAAGCACACAAGAACTATGTGTGTGTCTGGCCACCAGGCAGAAAGACCCATCAGCACATACCCTGATCCCACAGCCTCTCCTGCCCCTAGTCCAAGAGCAATTCTCACGGCACTGTTCCCTGCCACATTCTGCCAGGTGGTGCCCGCTGCCCTCCCGATGGAAACCCAAACTTCTGGGGAGACGTGCATGGGTCGGCTACCCATTTTGAAGGAGACTCTCCGGGGGCCCATTTACTGCCTTGCCCACGGAAGTCAGCTGTGGAGGGGAGGGCAGGGCGTTGGAAAGGGCGTTGGCCCCCAGATTTGACCTGCCCATCTGAAACCCACCAGACACCCCAAGACGCCCAGGCGCTGCCACCTCCCCCTACGAGGAAACACATCACGCCTACTGTAGTTGGACACCTTGGCTTCCCGAGGCTCACCGTCACCCAGACAGGCTTCCCTCCTGTGTGCCTGCGGCAAGGGGTGACCTGTCCCAGCAGGGGATCACCCCGCCTCAAACCCCACGTTGACTAATGAGTTGTTCCAGGGACCACGGTTCTAACTGCCTCTATCTCTGCTGAGGGCTTCCCCTGGTCCCCCGTGGGCCACGGCCCTTTAACCTCAGAGCCACGTCCCTGTAAGCCACCATGATGGCCAGAGTCCACAGGATGGATGCTGTCACCCAGGTGATACGGTTGGCATAGCCGACCTCCCCAATCCGACGCCCCCTGAGCCTGCCCTTCCAGGGCACTCCACGAGCCCTCTGCCACGGAGCAGCTGAGGAAGAAGACTGACCCGAGCATGGCCTAAGGCCCTTCTCCTATCCCATGTCCAAAAGTCTCTGCCCTGGATGGACAAGGAACAAGGGCAGGGGGGAGCAGGGCCCTGCCTGGGGCAAGGACCGAGACCAGGGCCGTGCCCGAGGCAGCGTTGGGGATGGGAGTGAGTGGTAGTTGTAGGGCCTCAGTGACTCCAAGGCAGCCTGCTCCTGTGCAGTGTGGTACGCCGACCTCTGACACCCACACCCTCCCGGGCCGCTCTAGGAGAGGCCAGACCTTTGCACCCAGAAGGCCAGAGTCGCAGCGGGCATTCCCTAGGGGTGGGGGTGGGCATCCCTCTGCCGCTGAGACTTTCCCCCACCAGACAGCGACTTCCAAACCTGGCGCGCACTCCTATCTACCCGCAAAGCAATCGGATGGCATGTGTCCCTCACTCTGAGTTCCCAGGTGGAGCCACGTGCTGGACCTCAGTTTCGATGAGGACGACGGTAGGGATTGTACTCATTTTATTCAGATTTCCAAGGAATGCATTTGTAGGGAGTCGTCATCGATCCGAGCACATTTCAGGACATGGAACATTAAAAGGGTAGGGCTCCAGCCTGGGACAGCCGATGCATTCACACACATCGGCTCTCAGCAGAACCCAGGGCCAAGCCACCATGCAGCCAGGGGAGCCATCCTCGGCCAAGGAGGCCTCGGGAAGACCCCAGCCAGCTGAGGCAGAGGTGAGCCTCTTACTGCTTATGTCAGCAGCTCCCACATGACCGCAGACAACACAGCGCTGCTCTCCCAGGCTGTCTTTGCCTCACAGGCTGGGCATCGCCGATGAGGCAGAATGGGACTCCCCGATGCTCACAGACACCCGCGGCCAGCCAACTCCACCTGGGAAGTGGGGAGAAGAGACAGGTGCGCTTCAGCATGCCAGACAGATCTGTGGGCATCCATGGCAGTGCCTCACAGCGGGGACACACTGCTCTGCCTCTCCCTATGATTCGGGTGCTCCTCCCGTGCCTGCGGACAGACACCCACACGTGGACGCTTCCAAGCATGGGGGTTTGGGGTATGGGGTGGGGGATGGAGGGAAGGGTGGTGGGAAGGGGAGCGGGTCGTGGGAAAGGGAGGGGGAGGAGGTGGGGATGGGCAGCGAGGGCCACGCTCGGCACAGAGTGCTGCAAAGGAAATGAGTCCCCAGTCCACGCACTCCACCACTGCTCTCATACATGATGTCCGCCCAGCCATAGGGGGATCTCGTGGACCTCACCCTTCCACGGTCTGGGTCCCAGCCCAAAACACCTCCACCCAACAACGGGCCTCACAGCACCTACTCGTCCCGAAAGAGAAGTGCATTCCACGGAGACACAAAACAGCATTGGGAAGCTAGCCCAAGGGGACAGTTCTCAGCTCGAGGGGAACTGTTCCAGAAGCAATGAGCTGGAAGCTTCTGGGAGAGGACGCTTTGTGGCCTAGGGCCACGGGGGCGCAAGTGGCCTCCCGCAGCCAGCCACCCATGCTCCTGCCTTCTCTGCCGTGGCCAGATCCCCTCCCTTGTTCAATGCAGAAAGCCCACCTGGGGCTTGAGAGTCCCCACTTCCCGAGGTGCCAGTGACCAACCATCTGGCAGCAGGTCACCTAACACTGGTTCTGGCAGGTTCCAGAGCAGGACCTGTGCAGGGGGTGACCTCACATGCTCATGCCACTTGCGTGTCCACCTACATCCAACTGTCACCCACAGAGGCCCCCGTCGCTAGAAGCCCACCGGGCCCTGCACTGTGGCCAGATCCTGCCCTGGGTGCCATGCCACAGGGGGCCGAGTCTTGGACCGGGAACACTGCCTGACCTAAGAACACAACCCAGCCGTCCGTGGGCCTGGGGTACCCACCTCTGCCCCAAAAGCAAGCACACAGGAACCATGTGTGGATTTGGCCACCGGGCAGAAAGATCCATCAGCACATACCCTGATCCCACATCCTCGCCTGCCCCTAGTCCAAGACCAACTCTCATGGCACTGTTCCCCACCACATTCCGCCAGTTGGTGCCCACTGCCCTCCCACTGGAAACCCAAACTTCTGGGGAAACTTGCATGGCCTGGCTACCCACCCTGAGGGAGCCTCTCCAGGTCACCATTCACTGCCACACCTGCCAAAGTCAGCTCTGGAGGGGAGGGGAGGGCGTAGGAAAGGGCACTGGTGCCCAGATTCAACCTACCCATCTGAACACCACTGGCAACCCCAAGACGCCCAGGTGCTGCCACCTCCCCCTAAGAGGAAACACGTCAAGCCCACGGCAGACGGGCGCCCTGGCCTCCCGAGGCTCACCGTCACCCGGGCAGGCTTCTCTGCTGCGTTCCTGCGGCCAGACGTGACCTGTCCCAGCAGGGGCATCGCCCCGCCTCCAACCCCCATGTTGCACTAATGAGTCGTTCCAGGGACCACGGTTCTAACTGCCTCTATCTCTACCGAGGGCTTCCCATGGTCGCCCGTGGGCCATGTCCATTTGACCTCACTGCCATATCCCTGTAAGCCACCATGATGGCCATGGTCCACAGGATGGATGCTGCCACCCAGGCGATACGGTCACCGTAGCCGACCTCCCCATTCCTGAAACCCCCTGAGCCTGCCCTACCAGAAAGGCACTCCTCGAGCCCTCTGCCATGGAGCAGCTCAGGAAGAAGCCTGCCCCGAGCCTGGCCTGAGGCCCTTCTCATGTCCCTTTTCCAAAACCTCTCTGCTCTGGAGCAGACAAGGCACAAGGGCAACGGAAGGGGAAGGCCCGAGGCTGGGGCCGTGGGCGGGGTGGCGGTGGGGGTGGGGGTGAGCGGTGGCGAGGAGGGCCTCAGTGACTCCAAGGCAGCCTGAATCCGTGCAGGCTGGTACGCCGACCTCTGCCACCCTCACCCTCCCAGGCCGCTCTAGGAGAGGACAGACCTTTGCACCCAGAAGGCCTGAGTCACAGAAAGCAATCCCTAGGTGTGGGGGTGGGCATCCCTCTGCTGCTGAGACTTTCCCCCACCATACAGTAATTTCCAAACCTGGCATGCACTCCTAGCTACCTGCAAAGCTATCAGATGGCATGTGTCCCTCACTCAGAGTTCCCGGGTGGAGCCACGTGCTGGACCTCAGTTTCGATGAGGACGACGGTAGGGATTGTCACTCATTTTGTTCAGATTTCCAAGGAATGCATTTGTAGGGAGTCATCATCGATCCAAGCACGTGTCAGGACATGGAACATTAAAAGTGCCAGTTCCAGCCTGGGACAGTGGATGCGTTCACACACATCGGCCCTCGGCAGAACGAGGGCCAAGCCACCACACACCCAGGGGAGCCATCCTCAGTCAAGAGGCCTCAGGAAGGACCCCAACCATCTGAGGCAGAGGCGAGCCTCTTACCGCTTATGCCGGAAGCTCCCAGGTGACCGCAGACCACACAGCACTACTCTCCCGGGCTGTCTTCGCCATGGAGACTGGGCATCACCGATGAGGCAGAATGGGACTCACCCATGCTCACAGACACCTGCGTCCAGCCAACTCCGCCTGGGAAGTGGGGAGAAGAGACAGATGCGCTTCAGCATGGCAGACAGGTCTGTGGGCATCCACAGCAGTGCCTCGCAGCGGGGACACGTTGCTCTGCCTCTCCCTATGATTCGGTGCTCCTCCTGTGCCTGCAAACAGACACCCACACGTGGACGCTTCCAAGCATGGGGGCGTGGGGTATGGGGTGGGAGATGGAGCGAAGGGTGGCGGGAAGCGGAGCCGGACATGGGCGTGGGAGGGGTAGGAAGTGGGGGTGGGCAGCGAGGGCCACCCTGGGCACAGAGTGCTGCAAAGGAAATGAGTCCCCAGTCCACGCACCCCACCACTGTTCTCCTACACACAGTCCACACGGCCATAGGGGGATCTCGTGGACCTCGCCCTCCCACGGTCTGGGTCCCAGCCCAGAACACCTCTACCCAACAATGGCCCTCTCAGTAGCAAACCCGCTCGCAGCACCTACTCATCCTGAAAGTGAAGTGCATTCCAGGAAGACACAAAACGGCATCGGCAAGCTAGCCCAAGGTGACAGTTCACAGCTCGAGGGGAACCACCCCAGGAGCAATGAGCTGGAAGCTTCCGGGAGAGGACGCTTTGTGGCCTAGGGCCACGGGGGCGCAAGTGGCCTCCCGCAGCCGGCCACCCATGCTCCTTCCCTCTCTGCAATGGCCAGATCCCCTCCCTTGTTCAATGCAGAAAGCCCACCTGGGGATTGAGAGTCCCAACTTCCCAAGGTGCCAGCAACCAACCATCTGGCAGCAGGTCACCTAACACTCGTTAGGGCGGGCTCCAGAGCAGGACCACTGCAAGGGGTGACCTCACACGCTCATGCCACTTGCGTGTCCGCCTACATCCAACTGTCACGTATGGAGGCCCGTGATGCCAGAAGCCCAACGGGCCCTGCAACGTGGCCCGATCCTGCCCTCGGGGCCATGCCACAGGGAGCCGAACCTTGGACCAGGAGAACCGCCTGACCTAAGAACACAACCCAGCCGTCCGTGGGCCTGGGGTACCCACCTCTGCCCCAGAAGCAAGTACACGGGAACCATGTGTGGATCTGGCCACCAGGCAGAAAGACCCGTCAGCACATACCCTGATCCCGCAGCCTCGCCAGCCCCTGGTCCAAGACCAATTCTCGCGGCACTGTTCGCCACCACATTCCGCCAGTTGGTGCCCACTGCCCTCCCGCTGGAAACCCAAACATCTGGGGAAACTTCCGTGAGCTGGTTACCCACCCTGAGGGAGCCTCTCCAGGTCACCATTCACTGCCATGCCTGCCAAAGTCAGCTCTGGAGGGGAGGGGAGGGCGTTGGAAAGGGCACTGGACCCCAGATTCGACCTGCCCATCTGAACACCACTGGCAACCCCAAGACGCCCAGGTGCTGCCACCTCCCCCTAAGAGGAAACGCATCAAGCCCACCACAGACGGGTGCCCTGGCCTCCCAAGGCTCACCATCACCAGGGCAGGCTTCTCTGCTGCATTCCTGCGGCCAGACGTGACCTGTCCCAGCAGGGGTATCACCCCGCCTCCAGCCCCCACGTCGCACTAATGAGTCATTCCAGGGACCACGGTTCTAACTGCCTCTATCTCTACCGAGGGCTTCCCATGGTCGCCCGTGGGCCACATCCATTTGACCTCACTGCCACATCCCTGTAAGCCACCATGATGGCCACGGCCCACAGGATGGATGCTGCCACCCAGGCGATGCAGTTAGCATAGCCGACCTCCCCATTCCTGAAACCGCCTAAGCCTGCCCTACCAGAAAGGCACTCCTCAAGCCCTCTGCCATGGAGCAGCTCAGGAAGAAGCCTGCCCCGAGCCTGGCCTGAGGCCCTTCTCATCTCCCTTTTCCAAAACCTCTCTGCTCTGGAGCAGACAAGGCACAAGGGTAAGGGAGGGGGGGCCCAAGGCTGGGGCCGTTGGTGGGGTGGTGGGGGGGTGGAGGTGAGCGGTGGCGAGGAGGGCCTCAGTGACTCCAAGGCAGCCTGAATCCATGCGGCCTTTTGTGCTGACCTCTGCCACCCTCACCGTCCCAGGCCACTCTAGGAGAGGACAGACCTTTGCAGCCAGGCGGCCCGAGTCGCGGCGCGCAATCCCTAGGTGTGGGGATGGGCATCCCTCTGCTGCTGAGACTTTCCCCCACCATACAGTGACTTCCAAACCTGGCACACACTCCTAGCTACCCTCAAAGCTATCGGACGGCATGTGTCCCTCACTCAGAATTCCCGGGTGGAGCCACGTGCTGGACCTCAGTTCCGATGAGGACGACGGTAGGGATTGTCACTCATTTTGTTCAGATTTCCAAGGAATGCATTTGTAGGGAGTCATCATCGATCCAAGCACATTTCAGGACATGGAACGTTAAAAGTGCCGGGCTCCAGCCTGGGACAGCTGATGCGTTCACACACATTGGCCCTCGGCAGAACCCAAGGGCAAGCCACCACATGACCAGGGAACCATCCTCGGCCAAGGAAGCCTCACAAAAGACCCCAGCTGGTTGAGGCAGAGGCGAGTCTCTTACCGCTTATGCTGGCAGCTCCCACGTGACCGCAGACCACACAGCGCTACTCTCCCAGGCTGTCTTCGCCATGCAGACCGGGCATCACCGATGAAACTGAATGGGACTCGCCAATGCTCACGGACACCCAAGTCCAGCCACCTCCACCTCGGATGTGGGGAGAAGAGATAGGTGCGCTTCAGCATGGCGGACAGGTCTGTGGGCATCCACGGCAGTGCCTCACAGCGGGGACACGCTGCTCTGCCTCTCCCTATAATCTGGGGGCTCCTCCCGTGCCCACGGACAGACACCCACACGTGGATGCTTCCAAGCATGGGGGCGTGGGGTACGGGATGGGGGATGGAGGGAAGGGTGGCCAGAAGTGGAGCTGGTCACGGGCAGGGGAGGGGGAGGAGGTGGGGGTGGGCAGCCAGGGCCACCCTGGGCACAGAGTCCTGCAAAAGAAACGAGTCCCCAGTCCACGCACCCCACCACTGGTCTCCTACAGGCCATCGCACGGCCTTCAGGGGATCTCGTGGACCTCGCCCTCCCACGGTCTGGGTCCCAGCCCAGAACACCTCTGCCCAGCAGCCATGGCCCTCGCAGGTGCAAACCCACTAGTGGTACCTACTCATCCCGAGAGTGAAATTCACACCAGGTGGACTCGAAACGGCATCGGCAAGCTAGCCCAAGGGAACTGCCCTCAGCTCAAGGGGAAACGCCCCAGGAGCAATGAGCCCAGAAGCTTCATGGAGAGGACCCTTCGTGGCCTAGGGCCACAGGGGCACAAGTGGCCTCCCACAGCTGGCCACCCACGCTCCTGCCCTCTCTGCCTCGGCCAGATCCCATCCCTTGATCAAAGCAGAGAGGCCACATGGGGCTCGAGAGACCCCTAATTCCCGAGGTGCCAGTGACCAACCCATCTGGCAGGAGGTCTCCTAACACTGGTTCAGGTGGGCTCCAGAGCAGGACCCATGCAGGGGGTGACCTCACACTCTCATGCCACTTGCATGTCTGCCTGCATCCAAGGGTCACCCACGGAGGCCCGGGTCACCAGAAGCCTGAAGGGCATTATGATGTGGCCTGATCCTGCCCTGGGGGCCATGCCCCAAGGGGCTAAGCCTTGGACCAGGAGCACCACCTGGCCTCACAACACAACCAAGACCTCCGTGACCCTGGGGTACCCACCTCTGCCCCAAAACAAGCACATGGGAACCATGTGTGGGTCTGGCCACCAGGCAGAAAGACCCGTCAGCACGTACCCTGATCCCGTAGCCTCGCCAGCCTATAGTCCAAGAGCAATTCTCGCGGCACTGTTCCCCGCCACATTCTGCCAGTTGGTGCCCACTGCCCTCCCGCTGGAAACCCAAACTTCTGGGGAAACTTGCATGGCCTGGCTACCCACCCTGAGGGAGCCTCTCCAGGTCACCATTCACTGCCACACCTGCCAAAGTCAGCTCTGGATGGGAGGGGAGGGCGTTGGAAAGGGCACTGGACCCCAGATTCAACCTGCCCATCTGAACTCCACTGGCAACTCCAAGACGCCCAGGCACTGCCGCCTCCCCATAAGAGGAAACACGTCAAGCCCACTGCAGACGGGTGCCCTGGCCTCCCAAGGCTCACCGACACCCGGGCAGGCTTCTCTCCTGCATTCCTGTGGCCAGTGGTGACCTGTCCCAGCGGGTATCACGCCACCTCCAACCCCCATGTCGCACTAATGCGTCATTCCGGGACCACGGTTCTAACTGCCTCTATCTCTGCCGAGAGCTTCCCTGGCCCCTGTGGACCACAGCCCTTTGACCTGACTACCGCATCCCCATAAGACACCACGATGGCCCCAGCACACAGGATGGACACTATCGCCCAAGTGATGCGGTCAGCATAGATGACTTCCCCAGTCCTGATGCCCACCGAGCCTACCCCATCAGCAAGGCACGCCACATGCCCTCCTCCAGGGAGTAGCTGAAGAAGAACCCTGACCCAAGCCTGGCAGGAGACATTCTCCTATCCCGTGTCCAAAACCTCTCTGCCCTGGAGCGGACAAGGCACAACAGCAAGGGAGGAGCAGGGCCCAGGACTGATTCTGTGGCCGGGGCAGCAGCAGGGCTGGGGGTGAGCGGTGGCAGGGAGGGCATCAGAGACTCACAGCAGCCTGCACCCCCATGGTGTGGTAGGCTGACCTCTGCCAAACACACCCTACTGGGCCGCTCTAGGAGAGGCCAGACCATTGCCCCAAGATGGCCTGGATTGCACCTCTCTGCCGTATACAGATCACCTCACTTCTTCAATGCAGAAAACACCCGAGCTCAAGAGACCCCAATTTCCAGTGCTGCCAACAAAAAACCTATCTGGATGAGACACCTAACACTGATTTGGGCGGGTTCCACAACAGGACCCGAGCAGGGGGTGAGCCCTGCTGTCATGCAATTGTATGGGACTGCCCTCGAGGAAATGTGCAGTCACTTGGCAAGTGGTGCCCTTGCCCACCTTGGGTCAGGACTCACGTCCTGCCACAAAATGGCACGAGATCGATGCCACTGAATCTACCTTTGCCAATTGAGAACCCAAGGGGCGGCTGAAAATGGCCAGACACTCCCCATCTCAAAGTCACTTGGCAAAGCACGGCACGCCATCTCTACCTACAGCCACTTCTGACCAGGACGCAACGTTGACGTGGACTCGGTCAGGCTGCTAGGTGTCCCACTGTGACTGCACCTCAGCGCCCACCAGCAAACCCAAGGGCCCACGGGAATGCTGGCAGCCCTGGGATGCCGGGGGCAAAGCCGACAAATACCAATGCACAACAGAGGGGAGTGGCCCTGGACTCCAGGCCAGGCGCCACAGCCTGTGCACTCGGCCCAAATGCCCTCGCGAGACAGGCAGCTCAGCCCTTGGCAAGCGGTGCCCTGCCCCGCCGAGGGCCAGCATACCAGCGGACTGAACCCAGGGCCCATTCCCACTGAGGGCACTGGCGTGTCCACGGCCAGCGGCTTTGTGGGCCCTGCCTCCGAGGAAATGTGCAATCATCGGCGACCCTGTACACGGCCGCGTCTTCATGCCTGCACTGGCTCGGCCCCCCTCCAGAGCTGTCCACCTGGACTCGCACGTCTGGCGCAGGGATCTTCAGCGAGGACACCCACAAGGGCTGTGGACGGTACAGTCCACCACCCTGTGGGATGCAAGGAAGGGCCCCTCGCTCGACACAGGAACAGCACCATTGTCTTGGTGGATCTGCACGCCCGCCACCACGATGGCGACACAGGCGAGGAAAAGAAGAGAGCTCCGTTAACCAAGGAGAGCTGCACGTTTGACCAGCTCCCCAAGTGGCCAGGGCGCTGCTCCTGGCTGCCATCAGCACACTCGGGGCCTGTCCTGCCCTGCCTGGCATGCAGGGTAGCAAGGAGAGGTCTCAATCCCGCCCTCCAAAGCAGGATTGGGGGTCCCCTGGCTCCCAGCCAAAAGGACCCTCCCGGGAACACACCTTCACCTCAGGAGCTGCGGGCCCAGGGAAACAAGGTCTCCCCATCCCCAGGGGGCTAAGCAAAGTGCCGCAGGCATGGCCAGGCTGTGCATCGTCGCCTATGCACACCCTCAAGACTCCGGGAAGACACCCTAGAGCGCCGCTCCTTGGACCCAGAGACCGCAGGGGCACACCGGTCAGGGACTGCAGTGCTGGACCAAGACACCTTGAAGCCGGGGCCAGTGGCCAGCAAGTGGCCACCGTGATGTGGACAGGGAGGGGTAGGGTGCCCAGAACCCTGAAACCATGGAAGGATTTCTTGGAACACAACCAGCGGATAAGGACGCGTGCCTTCCCGGAGTCACCACACCAGCGGTCCTCCCGGTCCACGCCATTCCTGGCCAGGGCAAGAGCCAGCACCGAGGAGCCATTTGCACCCTGCGCCCACAACACAGGCAGCCCCACATGGCCTCTGTGGGCGTCCACTGGGAGATACTTGGGCACTGTCGAGTGCAGTGGCCTCGCCTCAAGTCTTTACCCTCGGGCTCCTACATCGAGGGGTACTCCACAGACATCATCAGGCCAAAGGGCACAGGAGGAATTGCCGCTTGCCCGACCCGGGGCTCTCCTCTGCACCCATGGGAGCTGCCACAACCAGGCTTGACCGTACACATGGCCAGGACCTCTGCGTGAAGCGCCACCCTGGTGCATGGTGCACCGGGTCACGCACTCTCATGGCCTGTGCCAAGGCCGGGCAATGGGACTCCTACAACTGGCATGCTGGCTGCTCGACATGCCACCAAAGTCCAGGCACAGTCCTGAGGACCTCTGTGCTGTGAACACCCAGGTAAGGAGGGGAAACACCTCGTGGACCCGGGGCCCTCCGCGAGGCTCTCCGATGCAGAGGCCCTTGGGAGCTGCTGAGTCTGATGCTGGGGCTGGTGCTGGTGCTGGTGGTCGGTGCTGGTGGTGCCTGTGACAGTGTGACCTAGGGGAAGCTGTCCCTCACTCCTACCTTCCCTGGGGGAGACAACGTGCTGGACCTCAGTTTCGATGAGAACGACAGTAGGGAGTTCTCACTCATTTTGTTCAGCTTTTCCAAGGAATGCACAATGAGGGAGTCATCATCGATCCGAGCACATTCGGGGCCTCCTGGCACATCGAACGAGGCAGGCTGGGCCCGGCTCAGAGGTTTGAGCCGATGGCCTCAGTGCCCACCAGCAGCCTCGACCGTCCAGAGCCAAGCCACTGAGCAACAGGAATGCTCCGTCCTCTCTTGGAGCCAGACCCCACACGTCATCAGGCACATGTGGACTGGGAGGCTCTCAGCCAGCTGAAGGACATCCTATAGTCAATGTCTCCACCTGAGAAGATGCAAGGCTTACCGTCTTAGCGATGCATCCGCAGGGTGCCCACCCTCGGCTGGACAACACTTCTTACGGCCAGCCGGCCAACCTCCGCGCATCCAAGGACAGGAAAGCCGTCTTCTCTGGACCAACAGCGAGCCTGGCATGGACACCGAACCTGAGAAGTGGGGACAAAGGGCACGCACGTGTGACAAAAGGATCCAGGTGCTGAGGTCACCAGAACGCTCAGAATGCATCTGGAGAGCACCTTCACATCTGCCTGTCCTGTCCCTCTGTCCCACAGGAAGGGCCACGTGCACTTGGGCAAGAGGCCCCATGCGCAACTATGCAGGGCCCTGGGCGTGAGAGTCTGTGTGGCCGTGGGAGTGAATATGGGAGTGTGTGTGAGTGTGCAGAAGGGGAGTTTGGGTGGGTGTGGACGTGGGCTTATAACTCTCTGTAGTTCGTGTCTGTTTCGTGTGGACATTGGTGTGTGTGGCGGGGTCTGTGCATGTCTGGTGGCTGGTGAGCATGCGTGTCGGTGGTGATGTGTGGAGGTCTCAGCTCCTGAAAGAACCTGCCTGGTATGAGGAAACCTGGCCTCACGTCCTGCCACGCAATGGCACGAGATCAGTACCACTGAATCTCCAGTCGCCCGTTTGACCCCTTGGGGTGGCTGAAAATGGCCCAAGACTCCCCGTCTCAAGGTCACTCTGGCAAGCACAGCACGCCGTCTCTACCTACACCCGCTTCCGACCCGGGACCCAACGTTGACGTAGACTCGTTCAGCCCACTAGGTGTCCCACTGTGACTGCACTTCAGCGCCCGCCGGGAAAACCCAAGGGCCCACGGGAATGCTGGCAGCCCTGGGATGCCGGGGCAAGCCCAACAAAGACCAGCGCACTAGGGAGGGGAGGGGCCCTGAACTCTAGGCCAGGCACCGCAGCCTGCGCACTCGGCCCAAACTCCCTGTGGGACAGGCAGCTCAGCCCTTGGCAAGTGGTGCCCTGCCCCGCCGAGGGCCAGCGTACCAGCAGACTGAACCCAGGGCCCATTCCCACTGAGGGCACTGGCGTGTCCACGGCCAGCGGCTCTGTGGGCCCTCCCTCCGAGGAAATGTGCAGTCACTCAGCGACCCTGTCCACAGCCGCATCTTCGTGCCTGCACTGGCTTGGCCCCCCTCCAGAGTTGTCCACCTGGATTCGCACGTCTGGCACAGGGATCTTCAGCCTGGACACCCACAAGGGCAGTGGACGGTACAGTCCACCACCCTGTGGGATGCAAGGAAGGGCCCCTCGCTCAACACAGGAACAGCACCATTGTCTTGGTGGATCTGTACACGTGCCACCATGATGGCGACAGACGCGAGGAAAGGAAGACAGCTACGTTACCCAAGGAGAGCTGCACATTTGACCAGCAACCCAAGCAGCCAGGGCGATGCACAAGGGAGAGGGCACAAGGAGAGGTCTCGATCCCACCCCCCAAAGCAGGATTGGGGGTCCCCTGGCTCCAAGTCAAAGGGACACTCCCGGGAACACACCTTCACCTCAGGAGCTGCAGGCCAAGGGATACAAGGTCTCCCCTTCCCCAAGGGACTAAGCAAGGTGTCTCCAGCATGACCAGTCTGTGCAACATCGCCTACACACCCCCTCAAGATTCAGGGAAGACGCCCATAGAGCGCCGCTACTTGGACCCGGAGCCCACAGGGGCACACCGGTCAGGGATTGCAGCGCTGGACCAAGGCACTTTGAAGCCGGTTCCGGTGGCCAGCAGGTGGCCACTGCGACCTGCACGGGGAGGGGGTAGGGTGCCCAGAACCCATGAAACCATGGAAGGATTTCTCAGAACAAAACCAGCGGCTAAGGCCGCGCGCCTTCCCGGAGTCACCACACCAGTGGTCCTCCCGGTCCGCGCCATTCCTGGCCAGGGCAAGAGCCAGCACCAAGGAGCCATTTGCACCCTGCGCCCACACACAGACGGCCCCACATGGCCTTTGTGGGCATCCACTGGGAGACACTCAGGCTGCTGCCTCGCCCTGTGCCCCTAACCTCGGGCTCCTGCACCGAGGGGCGCTCCACGGACATGACCAGGCCAAAGTGCACAGGAGGGATCGCCGCTTCCCCGGCCCGGGGCTCTCCTCTGCACCCATGGGAGCTGCCGCAACCAGGCTCCACCGCACACACCGCCAGGACCTCTGCCTGAAGTGCCACCCTGGCGCACGCTGCTCTGGGCCACACACTCTCACGGCCTGTGCCAAGGCCGCGCAATGGGACTCCTACAACTGGCATGCCAGCTGCCTGACACGCCACCAAAGCCCGGCCACGGCCCTGAGTACCTCCGCACCGTGAACACCCAGCTAAGGAGGGGAAACACCCCATGGACCCGGAGCCCTCCGCGAGGCTCTCTGATGCAGAGGCCCTTGGGAGCTGCTGAGTCTGATGCTGGGGCTGGTGCTGGTGCTGGTGGTGCCTGCGACAGTGTGACTGAGGGGAAGCTGTCCCTCACTCGTACCTTCCCTGGGGGAGACAACGTGCCGGACCTCAGTTTCGATGAGAACGACGGTAGGGAGTTCTCACTCATTTTGTTCAGCTTTTCCAAGGAATACACAATGAGGGAGTCATCATCGATCCGAGCACATTCTGGGCCTCCTGGCACATCGAACGAGGCAGGCTGGGTCCGGCTCAGAGGTTTGAGCCGATGGCCTCAGTGCCCTCCAGCAGCCTTGACCGTCCAGAGCCAAGCCACTGAGCAACAGGAACGCTCCGTCTCTCTTGGAGCCACACCCCACACGTCATCAGGCACACGTGGATTGGGAGGCTCTCAGCCAGCTGAAGGACATCCTACAGTCAAGGTCTCCACCTGAGGCGATGCAAGGCTTACCGTCTTAGCGATGCATCAGCAGGGTGCCCACCCTCGGCTGGACAACACTTCTTACGGCCAGCCGGCCAACCTCCGCGCATCCATTGACAGGAAAGCCTTTTTCTCTGGGCCAACAGCGAGCTCAGTGTGGACACCGAACCTGAGAAGTAGGGACAAAGGGCACACATGTGTGACAAAAGGATGTAGGTGCTCAGGTCGCCAGACTGCTCAGAATGCATCCGGGGGGCAGCCTCGCATCTGCCTGTCCTGTCCCTCTGTCCCACAGGAAGGGCCGAGTGCACTTTGGCAAGAGGCCCCGTGTGCAACTCTGCAGGGCCACAGGCACGAGAGTCTGTGTGGCCGTGGGAGTCAGCATGGGAGTGTGTGTGAGTCTGCGGAAGGGGAGTTTGGGTGGGTGTGGACGTGGGCTTGTAACTCTCTGTACTTCATGTCTGTTTCATGTGGGCTTGGGTGTGTGGGGGACAGGTCTTTTGCTGTCTGGTGGGCGGTGGGCACGCGTGTCTGTGGTCAAGTGTGGAGGCCTCAGATCCTGGAAGAACCTGCCCAGTACGTGGAAACCTGGCCTCACGTCCTGCCATGCCACGGCACGAGATTGGTGCCACTGAATCTCCACTTGCCTGTTTGACCCTTTGGGGTGGCTGAAAATGGCCCAAGACTCCCCGTCTCAAAGTCACTCTGGCAAAGCATGGCACGCCATCTCTACCTACACGCGCTTCCGACCTGGAACGCGACGTTGACGTGGGCTCGGTAAGCCCGCTAGGTGTCCCACTGTGACTGCACCTCAGCGCCCGCCTGCCAAACCCAAGAGCCCAGGGGAATGCTGGCAGCCCTGGGATGCCAGGGGCAAGCTCGATGAAGACGAACACACACAGAGGTGGAAGGTCCTGGACTCCAGACCAGGCGTCGCGGCCTGCGCAATCGGGCCAAATGCCCTCGCGGGACAGGCAGCTTAGTCCTTGGCAGGCGGTGCCCTGCCACGCCAAAGGCTAGCGTACCAGCGGACTGAAACCAGGGGCCATTCCCACTGAGGGCACTGGCGTATCCGCAGCCAGCGGCTTCGTGGGCCCTGCCTCCAAGGAAATGTGTAGTCATCGGCGACCCTGTCCACGGCCGCGTCTTCGTGCCTGCACTGGCTCAGCCCCCCTCCAGAGTTGTCCACCTGGACTTGCACATCTGGCGCAGGGATCTTCAGCCTGGACACCCACAAGGGCAGTGGACGGTACAGTCTGCCACCCTGTGGGATGCAAGGAAGGGCCCCTCGCTCGACACAGGAAGAGCACCATGGTCTCCGTGGATCTCTATACCTGCCGCCACGATGGCGACAGACACGAGGAAAGAAAGACAGCTCCGTAGCCCGAGTAGAGCTGCATGTTTGACCAGCTCCCCAAGCGGCCAGGGTGCTGTGCCTGGCTGCCATCAGCGCACTCGGGGCCTGCCCTGCCCTGCCTGGCACGAAGAGTAGCAAGGAGAGGTCTCGATCCTGCCCTTCACAAAGCAGGATTGTGGGGGTCCCCTGGCTCCCAGTCAAAGGGACCCTCCCAGGAACACACCTTCACCTCAGGAGCTGTGGGCCCAGGGAGACAAGATCTCCCCAACCCAGCGGGCTAAGCAAGGTGCCGCAGGCAGTGCCTGTCTGCACATCGTCGCCTACGAACCCCCTCGAGAATCAGTGAAAACGCCCATAGAGCGCCGCTCCTTGGATCCAGAGACCGCAGGGGCACACCGGTCAGGGACTGCAGCGCTGGACTGAGACACCTTGAAGCCGGGGCCGGTGGCCAGCAAATGGCCACTGCGACGTGGACAGGGAGGGGTGGGGTGCTCACAACCCATGAAACATGAACGGAATTCTCGGAACACAACCAGCGGCTAAGGCCGCATGCCTTCCCAGAGTCACCACACAAGCGGTCCTCCCCAGTCCGCGCCATTCCTGGCCAAGGCAAGAGCCAGCATCGAGGCGCAATTTGCACCCTGCGCCCACACATAGGAGGCCCCACATGACCTCTGTGGGCATCCACTGGGAGATACTCGGGCACTGTCGAGTGCAGCGGCCTCGCCTCGTGCCCCTACCCTCGGGCTCCTGCACCGAGGGGCGCTCCACGGACGTCACCAGTCCAAAGCGCACAGGAGGGATCGCCGCTTCCCTGGCCTGGGGCTCTCCTCTGCACCCATGGGAGCTGCCGCAACCAGGCTCCACCGCACACACCACCAGGACCTCTGCCTGAAGTGCCACCCTGGCGCACGCTGCTCTGGGCCACACACTCTCACGGCCTGTGCCAAGGCCGCGCAATGGGACTCCTACAACTGGCATGCCGGCTGCCTGACACGCCACCAAAGCCCGGCCACGGCCCTGAGTACCTCCGCACCGTGAACACCCAGCTAAGGAGGGGAAACACCCCATGGACCCGGAGCCCTCCGCGAGGCTCTCTGATGCAGAGGCCCTTGGGAGCTGCTGAGTCTGATGCTGGGGCTGGTGCTGGTGCTGGTGGTGCCTGCGACAGTGTGACTGAGGGGAAGCTGTCCCTCACTCCTACCTTCCCTGGGGGAGACAACGTGCTGGACCTCAGTTTCGATGAGAACGACGGTAGGGAGTTCTCACTCATTTTGTTCAGCTTTTCCAAGGAATGCACAATGAGGGAGTCATCATCGATCCGAGCACATTCTGGGCCTCCGGGCACATCGAACGAGGCAGGCTGGGCCCGGCTCAGAGGTTTGAGCCGATGGCCTCAGTGCCCTCCAGCAGCCTCGACCCTCCAGAGCCAAGCCACTGAGCAACAGGAATGCTCCGTCCTCTCTTGGAGCCAGACCCCTCATGCCAGCAGGCACACGTGGACGGGCAGGCTCTCAGCCATGCAAAGGAAATCCTACAGCCAACGCCTCCGCCTGAGACGATGGAAGGCTTACCGTCTTAACAATGCATTTGCAGGGTGCCCACCCTGGGCTGGACAACACTTCTTCCGGCCAGCCGGCCAACCTCCGCACATCCAAAGACAGGAAAGCCTTCTTTTCTGGGCCAACAGCGAGCCCAGCGTGGACACCGAACCTGAGAAGTGGGGACAAAGGGCACACATGTGTGACGAAAGGATGCAGGTGCTCAGGTCGCCAGACCACTCAGAATGCATCCGGGGGGCAGCCTCGCATCTGCCTGTCCTGTCCCTCTGTCCCACAGGAAGGGCCACGTGCACTTTGGCAAGAGGCCCCGTGCGCAACTCTCCAGGGCCACGGGCACGAGAGTCTGTGTGGCCGTGGGAGTCAGTTTGAGAGTGTGTGTGAGTCTGCGGAAGGGGAGTTTGGGTGGGTGTGGACGTGGGCTTGTAATTCTCTGTAGTTCGTGTCTGTTTCGTGTGGACATGGGTGTGTGGGGGGCGGGTCTGTGCGTGTCTGGTGGGCGGTGGGCACACGTGTCAGTGGTCATGTGTGGAGGCCTCAGCTCCTGCAAGAATCTGCATTGTACATGGAACCCGGGCCTCACGTCCTGCCACACAACGGCACGAGATCAGTGCCACTGAATCTCCACTCGCCGGTTTGACCCTTTGGGGCAGCTGAAAATGGCCCGAGACTCCCTGTCTCAAAGTCACTCTGGCAAAGCTTGGCACGCCGTCTCTACCTACATCCACTTCTGACCCAGGACACAACGTGGACGTGGTCTGGGTCAGCCTACTAGGTGTCCCACTGTGACTGCAACTCAGCTCCCGCCAGCAAAACCCAAGGGCCCACGGGAATGCTGGCAGCCCTGGGATGCCGGGGGCAATCCCGACAAAGACCATTGCACTAGGGAGGGGAGTGGCCCTGGATTCTAGGCCGGGTGCCGCGGCCTGTGCACTTGGCCCCATCACCCTCACGAGACAGGCAACTCAGCCCTTGGCAAGCAGTGCCCTGCCCCGCCAAGGGCCAGCGTACCAGCGGACTGAACCCAGGGCCCGTTCCCACTGAGGACACTGGCGCGTCCACGGCCAGCAGCTTAAGGGGCCCTGCCTCCGAAGAAATGTGCACTCGGCAACCCTGTCCATGGCCGCGTCTTCGTGCCTGCACTGTCTGGGCCCCCCTCCAGAGTTGTCCACCTGGACTCGCACGTCCAGTGCAGGGATCTTCAGCGAGGACACCCACAAGGGCAGTGGACGGTACAGTCCCCCACCCTGTGGGATGCACGGAAGGGCCCCTCACTCAACACAGGAACAACACCATGGTCTCCTGGATCTCTACACCCCCCGCCACGATGGAGACAGAATGAGGAAAGGAAGACAGATCCGTTGCCCAAGGAGAGCTTACATTTGACCAGCTCCCAAACGACCAGGGCACTGCGCCTGGCTGCCACTGTAGCACTCGGGGCCTGCCCTGCCCTGCCTGGCATTCAGGGTAGCAAGGAGAGGTCTCGATCCCACCCCCCAAAGTAGGATTGTGGGGGTCCCCTGGCTCCCAGTCAAAGGGACACTCCCAGGAACACACCTTCACATCAGGAGCTATGGGCCCTGGGAGACAAGGTCTCCCCATCCCCAAGGGGCAAAGTAAGGTGCCACAGGCGTGGCCAGTCTGTGCATCGTCACCTATGCACCCCCTCGAGATTCAGGGTAGATGCCCTAGAGCGCCGCTCCTTGGACCCAGAGACCGCAGGGGCACACGGGTCAGGGATTGCAGCGCTGAACCAAGGCACCTTGAAGCCGGGTTTGTGGCCAGCAGGTGCCCACTGCGACATGGACAGGGAGGGAATTGGGTGCCCACAACCCATGAAACCATGGAAGGATTTCTCGGAACACAACCACCGGATAAGGCCGCGCGCCTTCCTGGAGTCACCACACCAGCGTTCCTCCCCGGTCCGCGCCATTCCTGGCCAGGGCAAGAGCCAGCACCGAGGTGCCATTTGCACCCTGTGCCCACACACAGGCGGCCCCATATGGCCTCTGTGGGCATCCACTGGGAGATACTCGGGCGCTGTCGAGTGCAGCAGCCTCGCCTTGAGCCTCTACCCTCGGGCTTCTACATCGAGGGGCGCTCGACGGACGTGACCAGGCCAAAGCGCACAGGAGGGATCACCAATTGCCCGGCCCAGGGCTCTCCTCTGCACCCATGGGAGCTGCCGCAACTGGGATCCACCACAAACACTGCCAGGACCTCTGCCTGAAGTGCCACCCTGGCGCACTCTGCTCCGGGCCATGCACTCTGAGGGCCTGTGCCAACGCCGCGCAATGGGACTCCTATGGCAGGCATACCAGCTGCCCGACATGCCACCAAAGCCTGGCCACAGCCCTGAGTACCTCTGTGCTGTGAACACCCAGCTAAGGAGGGGAAACACCTCGTGGACCCGGAGCCCTCCGCGAGGCTCTCCGATGCAGAGGCCCTTGGGAGCTGCTGAGTCTGATGCTGGGGCTGGTGCTGGTGCTGGTGGTGCCTGCGACAGTGTGACTGAGGGGAAGCTGTCCCTCACTCCTACCTTCCCTGGGGGAGACAACGTGCTGGACCTCAGTTTCGATGAGAACGACGGTAGGGAGTTCTCACTCATTTTGTTCAGCTTTTCCAAGGAATGCACAATGAGGGAGTCATCATCGATCCGAGCACATTCTGGGCCTCCTGGCACATCGAACGAGGCAGGCTGGGCCCGGCTCAGAGGTTTGAGCCGATGGCCTCAGTGCCCTCCAGCAGCCTCGACCCTCCAGAGCCAAGCCACTGAGCAACAGGAATGTTCCGTCCTCTCTTGGAGCCAGACCCCTCATGCCAGCAGGCACATGTGGACGGGCAGGCTCTCAGCCAGGTGAAGGAAATCCTACAGCCAACGCCTCCGCCTGAGACGATGGAAGGCTTACCATCTTAGCGATGCATCCACAGAGCGCCCACCCTGGGCTGGACAACACTTCTTCCGGCCAGCCGGCCAAGCTCCATGCATCCAAGGACAGGAAAGCCTTCTTCTCTGGGCCAACAGCGAGCCTGGCGTGGACACCGAACCTGAGAAGTGGGGACAAAGGGCACGCACATGTGACAAAAGGATCCAGGTGCTGAGGTCACCAGAATGCTCAGAATGCATCCAGGGGGCAGCCTCGCCTCTGCCTGTCCTGTCCCTCTCTCCCACAGGCACGGCTGGGTGTACTTGGGCAAGATGGCCACGAGCAACTCTGCAGGGCAATGGGCACGAGATTCTGTGTGGCCGTGGGAGTCAGTGTGGGAGTGTGTGAGTCTGCGGAAGGGGAGTTTGGGTGGGTGTGGGCGTGGGATTGTAACTCTCTGTAGTTCGTGTCTGTTTCGTGTGGACATGAGTGTGTGGAGGGCGGGTCTGTGCGTGTCTGGTGGGTGATGGGCACGCGTGTCTCTGGTCAAGTGTAGAGGCCTCAGCTCCTGAAAGAACCTTCCCAGTACGTGGAAACCAGGCCTCGTGTCCTGCCATGCAATGGCACGAGATCGGTGCCACTGAATCTCCAGTCGCCCGTTTGACCCCTTGGGGTGGCTGAAAATGGCCCAAGATTCCCCGTCTCAAAGTCACTCTGGCAAAGCACGGCATGCCGTCTCTACCTACACCCGCTTCCGACCCGGGACGCGACGTCGACGTAGACTCGTTCAGCCGACTAGGTGTCCCACTGTGACTGCATTTCAGCACCCGCCGGGAAAACCCAAGGGCCCACGGAAATGCTGGCAGCCCTGGAATGCCGGGGCAAGCCCGACCAAGACCAGCGCACTAGGGAGGGGAGGGGCCCTGAACTCCAGGCCAGGCGCCGTGGCCTGTGACTCGGCCCAAACGCCCTCGCGAGACAGGCAGCACAGCCCTTGGCAAGCAGTGCCCTGCCCCGCCGAGGGCCAGCGTACCAGCGGACTGAACTCAGGGCCCATTCCCACTGAGGGCACTGGCGTGTCCACGGCCAGCGGCTTCGTGGGCCCTGCCTCTGAGCAAATGTGCCATCACTCGGTAACCCTGTCCACGGCCCGTCTTCGTGGCTGCACTGGCACATCCCCCAGCCAGAGTTGTCCACCTGGATTCGCTTATTCGGCACAGGGATTTTCAGCGAGGACACCCACAAGGGCACTGGACGGTCAAGTCCGCCACCCTGTGGGATGCAAGGAAGGGCCCCTCGCTCGACACAGGAACAGCACCAAGGTCTCCGTGGTGGCGACAGACACGATGAAAGAAAGACATTTCTGTAGCCCAAGGAAAGCTGCACGTTTGACCACCTCCCCAAGAGGCCAGGGAGCTGTGCCTGGCTGCCAACAGTGCACTCGGGGCCTGCCCTGCCCTGCCTGGCATGCAGGGTAGCAAGGAGAGGTCTCGATCCTGCCCCCCAGGCAGGATTGGGGTTCCCCTGGCTCCCAGTCAAAGGGACACTCTCGGGAACACACCTTCACCTCAGGAACCGCAGGCCCAGTGAGACAAGGTCTCCCCATCCCCGGGGGGCTAAGCAAGGTGCCTCAGGTGCAGCCAGTCTGCACATCGTTGCCTATGCACCCCCTCGAGACTCAGGGAAGACACCGATAGATCGCCGGTCCTTGGACCCGGAGACCGCAGGGGCACACCAGTCAGGGACTGCAGCACTGGACCAAGGCACCTTGAAGCCGGGGCCGGTGGCCACCAGGTGGCCACCGCGATGTGGACAGGGAGGGGTAGGGTGCCCACAACCCACGAAACCATGGCTGGGTTTCTCGGTACAAAACCAGCGGAGAGGACCGCGCCCCTTCCCAGAGTCACCGCCCCAGCGGTCCTCCCTGGCCCCACCATTCTTGGCCAGGGCAAAAGCATGCACTGAGGCGCCATTTGCACCCTGCATCCACAGCACAGCCGGCCCCATGTGGCCACTGTGGGAGTCCACTTGGAGACACTCAGGCACTGTCAAGTGCACCGGCTTCGCCTCGAGCCTCTGCCCTCGGTCTCCTACACCAAGGGGAGCTGCGCGGACGTCAGCAGGCCAAAGGGCATGGCAGTGATCGTCACTTCCCCGGCCCGGGGCTCTCCTCTGCACCCATGGGAGCTGCCTCTACCAGGCTCGACCGCACACACCGCCAGGACCTCTTACTGAAGGGCTGCCCTGGCGCACGCTGCACCGGGCCACGCACTCTCAGGACCTATGCGAACTCCGCACAATTGGACTCCTATGGTTGGAATGGCAGCTACCCGACACGCCACCAAATTCCGGCCACTGCCCTGAGTACCTCCGCACCGTGAACACCCAGCTAAGGAGGGGAAACTCCTCGTGGACCTGGGGCCCTCCGCTAGGCTCTCCAATGCAGAGGCCCTTGGGAGCTGCTGAGTCTGATGCTGGGGCTGGTGCTGGTGCTGGTGGTGCCTGCGACAGTGACCGAGGGGAAGCTGTCCCTCACTCCTACCTTCCCTGGGGGAGACAACGTGCTGGACCTCAGTTTCGATGAGAACGACGGTAGGGAGTTCTCACTCATTTTGTTCAGCTTTTCCAAGGAATGCACAATGAGGGAGTCATCATCGATCCGAGCACATTCGGGGCCTCCTGGCACATCGAACGAGGCAGGCTGGGCTCGGCTCAGAGGTTTGAGCCGATGGCCTCAGTGCCCTCCAGCAGCCTCGACCGTCCAGAGCCAAGCCACTGAGCAACAGGAATGCTCCGTCCTCTCTTGGAGCCAGACCCCTCATGCCAGTAGGCACACGCGGACTGGGAGGCTCTCAGCCATGCAAAGGAAATCCTACAGCCAACGCCTCCACCTGAGACGATGGAAGGCTTACCGTCTTAGCGATGCATCCGCAGGGTGACCACCCTGGGCTGGACAACACTTCTTATGGCCAGCCGGCCAACCTCCGCACATCCAAGGACAGGAAAGCCTTCTTTTCTGGGCCAACAGCGAGCCCAGCGTGGACACCGAACCTGAGAAGCGGGGCAAAGGGCACACACGTGTGACAAAAGGATCCAGGTACTCAGGTCGCCAGACCGCTCAGAATGCATCTGGGGGGCAGCCTCGCATCTGCCTGTCCTGTCCCTCTGTCCCCCAGGCAGGGCTGGGTGCACTTGGGCAAGAGGCCCCGTGGCAACTCTCCAGGGCCACAGGCACGAGAGTCTGTGTGGCCGTGGGAGTCACTTTGGGAGTGTGTGTGAGTCTGCGGAAGGGGAGTTTGGGTGGGTGTGGACGTGGGTTTGTAACTCTCTGTAGTTCATGTCTGTTTCGTGTGGGCTTGGGTGTGTGGGGGGCGGGTCTGTGCTGTCTGGTGGGTGGTGGGCACACGTATTGTTGGTCATGTGTGGAGGCCCTAGCTCCTGAAAGAACCTTCCCAGTACGTGGAAACCTGGCCTCACGTCCTGTCATGCAACGTCACAAGATCAGTGCCACTGAATCTCTAGTCGCCCGTTTGACCCTTTGGGGTGTCTGAAAATGGCCTGAGGCTCCCTGTCTCAAAGTCACAGTGGCAAAGCACGGCACGCCATCTCTACCTGCACCTGCTTCCGACTCGGGACGTGACGTCAACGTAGACTCGGTCAGCCCGTTAGCTGTCCCCAAGTGACTGCACCTCAGTGTCCACCGGCAAAACCCAAGGGCCCACGGGAATGCTGGCCGCCCTGGGATGCCGGGGAAAGCCCGATGAAGACCAGCACACTAGGGAGGGGAGTGGCCCTGGACTCCAGGCTAGGCGCTGTGGCTTGCGTACTTGGCCCAACCGCCCTTGTGAGACAGGCAGCTCAGCCCTTGGCAAGCGGTGCCCTGCCCCGCCGAGGGCCAGCGTACCAGCGGACTGAACCCAGGGCCCATTCCCACTGAGGGCACTGGCGGGTCCACGGCCAGCGGCTTCATGGGCCCTGCCCCCGAGCAAATGTATACTCATTGGCGACCCTGTCCACGGCCGCGTCTTCATGTCTGCACTGACACATCCACCAGCCAGCGTTGTCCACCTGGACTCACACGTCTGGTGCAGGGATCTTCAGCAAGGACACCCACAAGGGCTGTGGACGGTACAGTCCACCACCCTGTGGGATGCAAGGAAGGGCCCCTTGCTCGACACAGGAACAGCACCATGGTCTCTGTGGATCTCCATGCCCGCTGCCACAATGGCAACAGATGTGACAAAAGGAAGACAGCTCCACAGGCCAAGGAGATCTGCGCATTTGACCAGCTCCCCAAGTGGCCAGGGCGCTGCTCCTGGCTGCCATCGGTGCACTCGCTGCCTGCCCTGCCCTGCCTGGCACACAGGCTAGTAAGGAGGGGTCTCGATCCCGCCCCCCAAAGCAGGATTAGGGTTCCCCTGGCTCCCAGTCAAAGGGACCCTCCCGGGAACACACCTTCACCTCAGGGGCCTCAGGCCAGGGAGACAAGGTCTCCCCATCTCTGTGTGGCTAAGCAAGGTGCCACAGGCGCAGCCAGTCTATGCATCGTCGCCTACGCACCCTTTCGAGACTCAGGGAAGACACCCATAGCGCGCCGCTCCTTGGACCCGGAGAACGCAGGGGCACACCGGTCAGGGACTGCAGTGCTGGACTGAGACACCTTGAAGCCGGGTCGGTGGCCAACAGGTGGCCTCCATGATGTGGACAGGGAGGGGATAGGGTGCCCACAACCCAGAAAACCATGACCGGATTTCTCGGAACACAACCACCGGATAAGGCCGCGCGCCTTCCCGGAGTCACTGCAGCAACGGTCCTGCCCGGTCCATGCCATTCCTGGCCAGGGCAAGAGCCAGCACCGAGGTGCCATTTGCACCCTGCGCCCACACACAGGCGGCCCCACATAGCCTCTGTGGGCATCCACTGGGAGATACTCGGGCGCTGTCGAGTGCAGTGGCCTTGCCTCGTGCCCCTACCCTCGGGCTCCTACACAGAGGGGCGCTCCACGGACGTCACCAGTCCAAAGCGCACAGGAGGGATCGCCGCTTCCCCGGCCCGGGGCTCTCCTCTGCACCCATGGGAGCTGCCGCAACCAGGCTCCACCGCACACACCGCCAGGACCTCTGCCTGAAGTGCCACCCTGGCGCACGCTGCTCTGGGACACACACTCTCACGGCCTGTGCCAAGGCCGTGCAATGGGACTCCTATGGCAGGCGTACCAGCTGCCCGACATGCCACCAAAGCCTGGCCACAGCCCTGAGTACCTCTGCGCTGTGAACACCCAGCTAAGGAGGGGAAACGCCTCGCAGACCCGGAGCCCTCCGCGAGGCTCTCTGATGCAGAGGCCCTTGGGAGCTGCTGGGGCTGGTGCTGGGGCTGGTGCTGGTGCTGGTGGTCGGTACTGGTGGTGCCTGCGACAGTGTGACCGAGGGGAAGCTGTCCCTCACTCCTACCTTCCCTGGGGAGACAACGTGCTGGACCTCAGTTTCGATGAGAACGACGGTAGGGAGTTCTCACTCATTTTGTTCAGCTTTTCCAAGGAATGCACAATGAGGGAGTCATCATCGATCCGAGCACATTCGGGGCCTCCTGGCACATCGAAGAAGGCCAGCTGGGCCTGGCTCAGAGGTTTGAGCTGATGGCCTCAGTGCCCTCCAGCAGCCTCGACCGTCCAGATCCAAGCCACTGAGCAAGAGGAACGCTCCATCCTCTCTTGAAGCCAGACCCCGCACGTCATCAGGCACACGCGGATTGGCAGGCTCTCAGGTGGGCGAAGGAAATCCTACAGCCAACGTCTCCGCCTGAGATGATGGAAGGCTTACTGTCTTTGCGTTGCATCCGCAGGGTGCTCACCCTGGGCTGCACAAGACTTCTTCCGGCCATCCGCCCAACCTCCGTGCATCCAAGCACAGGAAACCCTTCTCTGGGCCAACAGCGAGCCCGTCGTGGACACCGAACCTGAGAAGTGGGGACAAAGGGCACACACATGTGACAAAAGGGTCCAGGTGCTCAGGTCGCCACACTGCTCAGAATGCATCCGGGGCGCAGCCTTGCCTCTGCCTGTCCTGTCACTCTGTCCCACAGGTAGGGCTGGGTGCAGTTGGGCAAGAGGCCCCATGGGCAAGTCTGCACGGCCAGGGACGTGAGAGTCTGTGTGGCGGTGGAAGTCAGTGTGGGAGTGTTTGTGTGTGTCTTTGTGTGTGTGTGTGTCTTTGTGTGTGTGTGTGTGTGGAATGGGCATTTGGGTGGGTGTTGCCGTGGGCTTGATTCTTTGTGTAGTTTGTGTGTGTTTTGTGTGTACATGTGTGTATGTTGTGGGTTGGGTCTGTGCTTATCTGGTGGACGGTGGGCATGGGTGTCGGTGGTCATGTGTGGAAGCCTCAGATCCTGAAAGGGCCTGCCCGGTACCTTAACCCCCAAACCAGGCAAAGTCTCCATCAAAAAGGAGAGTTTCTGACTCAGATCCCTGCTGAATACGGATTCCAAAATCCTCAACAGAATCCTAGCTAATAGGATCCAGCAATACATTAAAAGGATCATCCACCATGACCAAGTGGGATTTATCCCAGGGATACAAGGGTAGTTCAACATTCGCAAATCAATCAGTGTCACAGAACACATTAATAAGAGGAGGGAGAAGAACCATATGGTCCTCTCAATAGATGCAGAAAAAGTATTTGACAAAATACAGTATCCTTTCCTGATTAAAACTCTTCAGAGTATAGGGATAGAGGGAACATTCTTCAAGTTCATAAAATCCATCTATGAAAAACCCAGAGCGAATATCATCCTCAATGTGGAAAAGCTGAGAGCCTTACCCTTAAGATCAGGAACACATCGAGGATGCCCACTCTCGTCACTATTGTTCAACATAATACTAGAAGTCCTAGCAATAGCAATCAGACAACAAAAAGAAATAAAATGTATTCAAATTGGCAAAGAAGTCAAACTCTCTCTCTTCACAGATGACATGATACTTTATGTGGAAAATCCAAAAGATTCCACCCCCAAATTACTAGAACTCATACAGCAATTCAGAAATGTGGCAAGATACAAAATCAACGCACAGAAATCAGTTGCTTTCTTATACACTAACAATGCAACTGTAGAAAGAGAAATTAGAGAAACAATTCCGTTTACAATACCAAAACCCATAAGAAACCACGGAATAAACCTAACCAAAGAGGTAAAGGATCTATACTCTAGGAACTACAGAACACTCATGAAAGAAATTGAAGAAGACACAAAAAGATGGAAAAATATTCCATGCTCATGGATCAGAAGAATAAACATTGTTAAAATGTCTATGCTACCCAGAGCAATCTATACCTTCAATGCCATCCTGATCAAAATTCCAATGACATTTTTCAAAGTGCTGGAACAAACAATCCTAATATTTGTATGGAATCAGAGAAAACCCCAAATCGCCAAGGAAATTTTGAAAAAGAAAAACAAAGCTGGGGGCATCACACTGCACGGCTTCAGGCTATATTACAAAGCAGTGATCACCAAAACAGCATGCTACTGGCACAAAAACAGACATATAGACCAATGGAACAGAATAGAGAACCCAGATATGGACCCTCAACTCTCTGGTCAAATAATCTTCGACAAAGCAGGAAAAAACATGCAATGGAAAAAAGACAGTCTCTTCAATAAATGGTGCTGGGAAAATTGGACAGCCACATGCAGAAGAATGAAACTCAACCATTCTCTAACACCATTCACAAAGATAAACTCAAAATGGATGAAAGACCTCAATGTGAGACAGGAATTCATCAAAATCCTAGAGGAGAACATAGGCAGTAACCTCTTTAACATCGACCACAATAACTTCTTTCAAGACATGTCTCCAAAGGCAAGGGAAACAAAAGCAAAAATGAAATTTTGGGACTTCATCAAGATAAAAAGCTTCTGCACAGCAAAGGAAACAGTCAACAAAACAAAGAGGCATCCCATAGAATGGGAGAACATATTTGCAAATGACACCACAGATAAAGGGCTGGTATCCAAGATCTGTAAAGAACTTCTCAAACTCAACACCCAAAAAACAAATAATCAAGTCAAAAAATGGGCAGAAGACATGAACAAACACTTCTCAAAAGAAGACATACAAATGGCTAATAGACACATGAAAAAATGTCCATCATCATTAGCCATCAGAGAAATTCAAATCAAAACCACACTGAGATACCACCTTACACCAGATAGAATGGCAAATATGGACAGGGAAAGAAACAACAAATGTTGGAGAGTTCGTGGAGAAAGGGGAAACCTCTTACACTGTTGGTGGGAATGCAAATTGGTCCAGCCACTTTGGAAAACAGTGTCGAGTTTTGTCAAAAAATTAAATATAGAGCTACCCTATGACCCAGCAATTGCACTCCTGGGTATTTCCCCCAAAGACACGGATGTATTGAAAAGAAGGGCCATATGCACCCCAATGTTCATATCAGCAATGTCCGCAATAACCAAACTGTGGAAAGTGCCGTGACGCCCTTCAACAGATGAATGGATAAAGAAGATGTGGTCCATATATACAATGGAATATTACTCAGCCATTAGAAAGGAAGAATACCCAACTTTTTCATCAACATGGATGGGACTGGAGGAGATTATGCTAAGTGAAATAAGTCAAGCAGAGAAAGTCAATTACCATATGGTTTCACTTATCTGTGGAACATGAGGAATAGCACAGAGGATATTAGGAGAAGGGAGGGGAAAAATGAAGAGGGGGAATCAGAGGGAGAGATGAACCTGAGAGACTGTGGACTCAGAGAAACAAACTGAGGGTTCTAGAGGGGAGAGGGGTGGCAGGATCAGTGAGCCTGGTGATGGGTATTAAGGAGGGCACATACTGCATGGAGCACTGGGTGTTATACGAAAACAATGGATTATGGATCACCACATCAAAAACTAATGATGTATTGTATGGTGACTAACGTAACATAATAAATTTAAATTAAATTTAAAAAACCCACACTATGCTGTACATTTTTATTTTAATTTTTTAAAATAATTATTTATTTATCTTAGAGAGAGACAATCAGGGGAAGGAACAGAGGGACAAGAAGAGAGACAGAATCTCAATCAGGCTCTGTGCTCAGCACAGCCTGATGTTGGGTTTAATCCCATGACCATGTGATCATGACCTGAGCAAGAGTCACACACTTAACGAACTGAGCCACCCAGGTGACCCTGGGTTGTACATTTTTAATACCTGCCCTTTACAGCATAAATATTATATGTGATATACTTCTATACCTTGAAACAACAACCATGCACTACAAATACACTTATATATTAAAGTAAGTATTGTATAAATATACAGATGGGAAAATATACAAATGATTATTTGTAGGATCATATTTATTATACCAAAATATATTCTAGTGTTCCTATCATTTACATTCATTCTCAAATATTTCTCTCTCTCTCTCTCTATATATATATATTTTAATAATGGAAGTTCTGGAGTCTATTTCAGTATCTGTTAGGGCTCTTTTACTTTATGGTGTTCCAGTTATTAGTGTTCAAGGCTATTTTATTTATTATGATTGAGCTCATTTGAATGGCCTTGCTCGATTCTGGAGAAATAAATACACACATTAAAATACAAACATACCTACCTACCTACCTATACACATACATAAGTATAAAGAGAACACAAAAACATTACTCATTGAAAGAATGTGTGACAAGAACATTGTCAAGAAAAAAACATTTACCTCCTCCTAAACTAAAACAAATCAGGTTTTCCAAAGCTCTATATCTGTCAATCCACATAGAACTCAGATAAAATAAAATTTAAAATTTGGAAAGGAGGCTAAAGACACTCACCAAAGAAAATGACACATAATGGGGCTGCATGGGTGGTTCAGTCAGTTAGGCATCTGCCTTCGGCTCAGGTCATGATCTCAGGGTCCTGGGATCGAGCCCCGCGTCAGGCTCCCTGCTCAGCGAGGAGCCTGCTTCTCTCTCTCCCTCTGCTGCTCCCCCTGCTTGTGCTCTTTCTCTTGCTCTCTGTCAAATAAATAAAATCTTTTTTTAGAAAAGAAGATGACACATAATGAAGATATTATCCAGTAAGTCATTGGAAAGATGAACACAGAGACCTTAGGATGTGGCCCAGAACACATGACATATGAATTTAAAGGATGCTGGCATAGTTACTCACTGCTCTTCTCTGAAGTGGAGGACTTCATTCCATCCCGTCTACCTCAGAAAAACATGACAGAAAGAAAAGCAAACATATAATCTCTGAACATTCTCTACACTGAAAAATAACAAACCCTAAAATTGATTCCATTGTCAATATTTAAGTATGCAATGTTTCCTTCTTTTAGCCAACACCAATGAAACTTTCAGTACTCATCACAGTTGCTTGAGCTCTTAATTCAATCTTTCGTTTCCTCATTTATTACTCATGAACATGTTTCCCATGTACAAATATCTATTGACAACTCTATGTTCAAAGTGTGCAAATGAAGAAAGTCTGGGGCCATACAGCATATCTAAATTACACACTGCCTCATGAGATAGGAGGTTAATGCCTTGCTCCAAAATAAATAAGAGGCATGCTCACAGCAGTACTGTTTTGTCACTTAAGATCCTCAAAAACAGCCAGGCTTTGAGAGTCTTATTTGTCCTATTAGAGGGCCACTCATCTGGACCTCAGATTGACATCTGGAATGAGTCCCTCAGCATCCTCAGACAATTGTGCTCATCATTGATCCAGACAAACATCCTCCCAAACAAATAAGCAATTCCATAGCCAGGCTTATTTTCTTCAGGCTTATCTACTGCATTATAAATAAAGAATAGTAAATGCACAAGAGATATTTAGTATCCGAATAATGGAACTCCTATGTACATAGAACAAAAGGCATATAACCTTGGATTTTTCTAATAAAATTACATAAAATCAACTGGGAAAATTTGAAAAAAATCAACTAAAATTTCAAGGAGAAATGGGGGAGTATTTGTAAATCTGGTAGCAAAAAGTTATGATTACAGTAGAAATATGAGTAGAAACATCTGTATCTGGACTTGCCAATAATAAAAAGATAAATCAATCAATATTTTGGCACATTTAATTTTCTTTACAAGATTATTAGCATACACTATAAAATGGTATAAAAAGGAAATAGATCAATGATTCCCAGAAATTATTCAGGTTACTTCCAGAAGAAATTTTTTTTATTTAATGAAGGAAAGAAAAAATAATGAATATTCATTTAATGAAGTAGGCACACTTATGAGGGAAAAAAACTATTATTAAATATTCTACCTTGGGCTTCTGAAATAATGAACCCAGAGAACGTGACAACACACAAAGAATTTTAAAAGCATCAGAATAGCTGCTCATCTCTCTTCCCTAAAGTATGTTACTTGTTCAGTCTTTGTCCTGCAGCAAAACATCACAGATAATATAAGTTAGATCCAAAAATACATGAAATTAATTTAAAAATAAAGCAAATCATTTGTTCTGTAGTGATTATCATAGAGGAATCCCCACACTTCTAGTCCTTGCTACACATATCATAGCTGCTTGGTTCTTAGCTATCTTTGCCAGTTCATTTCTCCACTTATTTCCTCTCTGAATTATTCACTCTACAAATAGTCAATAATCCTCTCTAAAATGCTGTGTAAATTGGTGGCACAGCGATTTTCTTTTTGAATGAGAAATTCTAACGTTGTATTCTACCAAATAAAGACTTTATGAAAATGCTTTTTGATGGGTAAAATGAAGGGCATATGACAAGGTTGTTTGTTGTAAGACTTATATTCTGGAAGTAAGAGATAAGAACTTCAAAAACTTATTACAACATATAAAAACTGATGGAATAATGGTATGAATTAAAAAAAAAAAAAGATGAGGGGTGCCTGGGTGGCTCAGTCGTTAAGTGTCTGCCTTCAGCTCAGGTCATGATCCCAGGGTCCTGGAATTGAGCCCCACATCGGGCTCTCTGCTTGGCGGGAGTCCTGCTTCTCCCTCTCCCACTCCCCCTGCTTGTGTTCCTGCTCTCTCTGTCTCTGTCAAATAAATAAATAAATAAATTTTTAAAAATAATTAAATAAAAATTAAAAAAAAAAATTTAAAAAGATCAAAATTTTCATAAGATAATGGAAATTATAAAATAGAACCAAATGGAAAAGAACATCAGGAGAGCAAGTCCTAAGAGGACTAAAATAGAATAAGCATGGCCAATCTTTATTCAAAACAGAATGCAATTAATAATCCTAGAGTTCATGGATTGGCTAGCATAGGTCTTAAAGGATAAATGCTTGCAAGTGAACTGGGGAACTCAAAGTGCTAGTAGGTACAAGGAGCTGGACCTCAGAGGTTATGTAGTGTTTGATTCCATTTAAATGACACTTTGTTAAACACAAAACTATAAAAAACAGTGGTCACAAGAGATTATGGAGTAGAATGAAGGGTTGACTACAAAGGAATAAAATAAAGAAGATTTTTAGGGGTAATGGAACTCCTCCATATCATAATTGTCGTGTTAGATATACTATTCTATACACTTGTCAATAACCATATAACTGCATGTGACAAAGAGTGAGTTTTCCTGTAGGTAAAATAAAAAATAAATTAAAGGTACACATATAAAATTGAAAACAGCCTGGGACAGACACGTATTCACTGCACACTCTCATGGATTAGGCCCATATATTTGTTAGCTGGCACACATGCAATGGAACACCATTTAACCAAGAAACAAGATATTCATAGATTAAATATTTAATACATGCAAGACTGGTAGAATTCAAAACCATGAAAACTGTGGGCTAGCACTAAAATGATGAGGTAGAAGTCCATCCTGATTTGCTTAGAATAGAAACAGTGTACTGTTCATCAACAGTGGTTTTGTCTCTCATTTTCTTTGGATTTCTTACATTCACTCAATAGGGCACTTTTTCGCTTGCTGCTTATGAGAAAGGATAGACCATGAAATCAGACAAGCAATCATAACCCTAAAACATACTGAACCACTTGATTTACACATAGATACTGGAGATGACAATAAATGATGGAGGCTGCTTCAGCTATGAAGCCCCCAAGTGACAGTTTTTCATTATACTTCTACATGAACATTAGTAAGAAAGCCAGTATAATTTCTGTGGCAAAACTCTACTGATCTGAACAATCTCTAGTATCCTTGAGTATTATGCAGCTCATTTATTCTAGATACCTTTTCTGCATCTTAATGTTACAAGGCAAGGAAATGCTTTCTATTCAAACCAACATTGATTCTGTAACATCTAAAACAAAATACAAAAGCAAAAATGTACAATGATAAAAAATATATACACCCACTAATCAACAGGTGTCAGGAAATAGACTTCAATGGTATATATCACATTCAAGTTACTTAATTATGTCTACAATAAGAGTTTCTACTACTATCTAACAGAATATTCACTGTGCACAGACTTCTCCTTTAAATGCAACAAATATGATCTTAAAAATCCTGGTCAAACAGTTCCCCAAAATAGTAATACAGATTTACCATATTCTCACCCTTAAAAAAATTAAAAACATAGGTATACAAAAAAGCCTCTACACAAATGTTCACAGCAAAGTTATTCATAACAGACAAAAAGTGAAAACAACCCAAATATCCACTAAGTGATAAATGGATAAACAAAATGTGATATATCCATACAGTGGAATATTACTCATCCATAAAAAAAGGAATGGGGTTCTATTTTTTTTTAAATGTTCAGTTAGCCATTGTATAACACATAATTAGTTTTTGATGTAGTGTTCAATGATTCATTAGTTAAACAAGATACATTCTACAACATGGCTTAACTGTGAGAACATTTTGCTAAGTAATTAAGGATAAAAATACTTGTCTGCACCTGTATTTGAACCATTTACAACAAGCTATGATTTTCCTTTATACCCTAAATCATTTTAATTTCTTCAAAACAAGGTTTGAATTTCTTCAAAACAGTATCATTATTATTAAAACTAGGCAATTATAACCTTCCTTATATAGTACTATAATGTATTTATGGACTTTCTTAAATTTTGCCAGTTTCTCCTTTAATGTCTTTTATAAAAATCCTGAATCAATATTGTATTCAGTTTTCATATCTATTTAGTCTAACATAATCTAGAATATTTCCTCAGTAATATTACTATGTTTGAAAACTGACAGTTTGTGGAGGTTTTGTTTGGTTTGTTTTGTAGAGTATCACTCAACTTGGGTCTGATATTTTCTCATGAGTTGATTCAGGTTTATTTACTTTTGTCTGAGGTACTAAAGAAATAAGGCTAGGTTCTTCTCAGGGCTTCCTATCAGTGATGCCAGATGATTCCATCACTGGTAGTATTATCTTTCATCTCTTACTTAATTCAGGTGGTATCTGCCAGGTTCTCCACTACTCTTTTCTCTTTGCAACTAATAAGTATATCATGGAGGAGATAATCACAATCTATAAAAATATCCTGTTTCTCCTCAAATTTTCTCGAAGTTTTAGCATCCTTTGATGTTTCCTGGTTGAAACAATTATGATGATGATTCCTGAGAATGTCTTTATATCATTTCTACCTCATTTATTATAGCTTTCTGTCACATAGCACTTTACTTTCTACCCTATTTACCCATTCATTCACTCATTCATTTACATACTGGTTTAATAACATTATAAACATATTATTATTAATCAGTTTTTTTTCATTCCTAAAGAGATTTACCATGTCCAGACATGCCTGAACTTTATGTCAGAACCAGAGGTGGCTCATTGCTTAATGTCAAGCATCTTTGACAGATGCAGCCTTATCCATCTGTGAAAGCTTTCTCCTTCTGTACTTCTACTTCTCCTTCAGTATTCACGATGTTCCAGAAACCCAACTGTGAGTATCGTATATAGTCCATTTCCCCTCAAAATGCCAGAAGATAAAAAGGCAAAGTTAAAATAGCTTTGCACATTCCTTACATTATAAGACAGTTAAATTTCTAAACATAGTCTAGCCACTGTTGTGGCATAGTCAGGCAGAATTTGTCACTATTCTCTTTATCAATTTGGCCAACATTTTAGCTACTAGTTTTGAGTTGATAATTAATTATACTTGCAAGACACAAAGTGTTATCTTTAGAAAAGGGCCAGAATGAATACAGATAAGTGGGGAAAAGTAAACTGATCGTGAAACACATATTCAAAGGAGGTAGACAGTTTAGAATCCAGACTATATGGTCATAAATCACAGAAAGAAAAAATATTCTAATGGGAGATTATGACATTTAAATTTCTATCAGTTGGGGATTTCTTCATTTATTTCAGCATTTGATAGACTTAGTTAGACTGACAACTCAATAACTGCTGTATGTAATTAAAATATGTGTATTTGAAACCCCACACACACTCACACACACAACACAACACACAAATGAAACAGCAAAATAATGACCAGAACTCATTATCAACATTTTTTAATATTCTTCCTATAAAATTGGTTTATTGACCATATCTGCACAAGCACATATTTGTATCATTTTACATGAATTAAATACAATGTTATTGCCTCAAACATACCTGGTACTCAATAAGTGGTAGATAAACTTCTGAAAAGCTTGGATTTGCATATAAATTTAAACATACATTACCATATATAACAATATAATCCAATTGGATAAATGTATCAACATTAACTTACTTAGAATTATGATTTTAGGTAAACAGGTTACTTACAATTTTAAAAGTACAACTAAGGCTGTAATGATTACCCTTGAGTTTACATACAACTTTGAACACTTCCTATTACATACTTAGGTAAATTTCTAAAAATAAAATTGTTAGTCAAAATGTGCTAATTTCCACCTAATATATTTTCCACTGTCTTCTGGAAAGACTATAACATACCAGGGGTTCCCAATTCTCCACGCTTGGTTAACAAATGTACCTGTTAATCTGATAGGTGAAAAAAGACAATTGTTGATTTATTGCATTATGTGTGTGTCTATGTGTGTTCACACACATTTAAATTTCATTATATATTTATAATTATTTCATATATATTTAATCATTTAATTATAAAGATTGGTAGAGTTGAGCATATTATTATATGCTCTTGGCCATTCGCAATGCTTTTCTCTTATGAATTGTTCATTTATGTACTTCCCAGTTTTGTACTGGGATGCTTGTCTTTTTCTAACTGATTTGAGTGAGGCTTTGACAGAATATTAACACTAAATTTGTCACATAAATTTTAAGCAAATATGCATATGTATTTTTATTTAACTGCAAAGAAATAGCCCAATCTTAAGTTACAAGGTTTTAGTGATTCTGTTTTTCTCTCCTCTAAACCCCCCATGCAGATAACATGAGAAAACAAGAGTAAACTTAGAAAACAGTTTAATTGGGTTAAATATTGTATCCATTGCCTATGTATATTGTTGACTCAAGTTTTTATAAACTAGATTAAATATTAGCCTTGAAATATAGGAATCTTATTTTGAGATGTTGAAAAATTTACACCTGCTCAGATAAAATCAAAATAGACTGAAGTCATTGCATAAGGAGACTGGATACCATGAAGGAAGCTTAGAGACAACATTTCAATTCAAACTATGCTAAAGGAGAAAAGAAAGCAGGCAAGATTTTGGTCACTAATTCCCTGGTGCCATTACAGATGAAATGTGGCAGAAATACATTCAATTTTGAAATTTAAATTATTGGTTATAAATGGAAAGGGGTTCATATCACTAATTCCTTATACAGTGCTGGTTTCACATTGTTTAGTTTATGATGGCATGTAGCACTGATTTATATGACTCTCTTGTGAGGAAAATACAGCAAAGGAGCTAAAATAATTTTAATGAAAATAAAATGGAGATATAATTCTCATATATTTTTACCATGTGTCTGAGTTAATCTGATCATTCATTGTTCAGGTTCTTGTTTAACCAATGCTCTAGTTCAGGGATTGGTAAACTCAAGCCCACAGTCTGCTGTTGGAAACAAACTTTTGCTGGAATACAGCAACACTTATTCAATTACACATTATGTTTGGCTGCTTTCATACTACAACTGTAGAGTGGAGTAATTGCAACAGCCTGAAAAACTAACATGGTTATTTGGCCCTTTACAGAAAAGATTTGCCAACCCTTGGTCTACTATAATAGAGACTGAGGTGATAATTCCAAGTAATTAAAACTTGAATATTAAAATATGGAAGTATAGGAAGACTGGAAAAGTAGAGTCCTCATATTTAGTTTGAATTTTCTCATGTCAGGCTGACATACAATGGAGGCAACTCTATTTTGATTTTTTGAGTTCAAGCATAGTAATAAGGCCAGAGTTCCTGCTAGGCAGGTCCCTGAATTAATGGTCCTCAGTCATGCTTTCTTTTTGCTTTCTCCTTCTATACATCATCACCACAGAGACCACTGTTACCACTGTCCTCACACATGGGAAGTAACTCTATTGGTCCTCCATTTCTATGTTCTTCTGCCTCCTAAATCTAATGGCAGAATGGATACACAGATAGACAGGCAGACAGATAGATGATAGACAAACAGGTAAAATGGATGACAGATTATTGATAGGTAGATATATACAGATTGATTATGGAAAATAAATTGGCAGGTAGATAGATAGATGAAAATAGAATTGGGCTGAATTTGAGAATCATTAACATAAGACCTAACAATATCAATCAGAGTGTTTCTCAAAACAGCATTTGTTTCCACAAAACCATATTTATCTTACATGTCCATTGGAATGCTAGTTCTAAATTTCTCACAAGATCATAGAAGAACAATAGTATGTTTTGTGATGGTGTGCATGGCAAAAAC